GATACGAGCAAAGACCTGATACACATCCCAAATTCGACTTCGATAATATGAGCTTAATCGAATTTGCTATGCTGTTTGAGCCTCACTACCGGAAGCAAGATGGAGATAATGAAGAGAGTATCGATTATGATCCTTCTGAAGAAGAGTTCTCTACAACTCGAACGATAGTCAGACTGAAAGATGACACCAGAATGGTATTGAGAACTAGACCAGCAGTTATACAAGTACCATTCTTCATGGCAGCTAATGATCCTGAGAATTACTACTATAGCTTCCTCGTTCAGTACATGCCATACCGCCAAGAAAGAGAGCTGATTGAAGACTATGATTCAGCACAAGAGGCATTCATCGCACGAGAAGAACGACTAAAGGAAATAAGCAAATATATGGAGACATATAGAGAGCGTGATAAGCAGTTACAAAATGCCTTCAACCAGGTGCATGCATTCGAGATTCTAGCGGAAGGTGCACCAATTGAAGAGGAGCCCTATGAGGAAGAAATTCCTGAAGTTGGAATGACTGATGACCAATTTGTAACTGCGCAGCGAGCGATGAATGTAGGCCAGCGAGAATTGTTCATTCACATAACACAGAGCATACAGGATCAGATGAATGGAAGCACTGATCGAGAGAGACTCTTCATAACTGGTGGTGCAGGTACTGGAAAGACATTTGTGTTCAACCTACTAAAGAATCAGGTGAACAGATGTTATGGCAAAATAGCTACAAAATCAGCAGCGTTAACAGGAGTAGCAGCACGACTAGTTGGTGGTATGACATTGCATAGCATATTGAAACTCCCTGTAGAGAAGAATGGTAGAACAACAGGACTAGCAATCCTGACTGGTAACGTTCTCCGAACAATGCGTATGCAATGGAAAGATATAGAATTCCTCTTCATAGATGAGATCTCTATGGTGTCATACCAGGTATTATGCATGATTGATTCGCGCCTCAAGCAACTTAAGAATAATGACGAGTTATTTGGAGGTATCAATGTACTTCTCTTCGGTGATCTCATGCAATTACCACCGATAAGAGCAAATCAAGTGTTTGAACAGCCAACATCAATGAGAGCAGCCATACATCTCTGGAGAATATTCACACTAGTAGAATTAACACAGAATATGCGGCAAGAAGGTGACACCACATTCATAGATATCTTGAATGCATTAAGAGTTGGTGAATTGCAGCCTCATCATATGGCAGTACTGATTAGTAAAGTTGGAAACAACTTTACAGGTGAGTTTTCCATAGAGAAGGCACTTCGAATAAGACCTCATAAAAAAACAGTTGCCGCACATAACCAACAAGTCCTAGATCACTTCAGAAGTATTGGAACAGAGATGTTTATGATCAGAGCTCAGGATACGCTAGTGGATGCTACCAGAAACGAGGAAAATATCGATATGGAAAGAGCAGTGCCGAAGGACATCGACAATACGGCTGGACTTCCGAAAGAGCTGGAGATATTTGTGGGAGCAAAAGTGATGCTAAGAATCAATATGGATGTTCAAAAGGGACTGGTGAATGGTGCAATGGGCTTCATATCTGAAATCATATGGCCATTGTTTCATAGAGGACAATTACATGATTATGACATACCTTCAGTCCGCATCGACTTTGGCAGAGATGGCATCCATACAATCAAACCAGTATCGAAACAATTCCCTGCCAACTACAGCTATGGCACTATCGAAAGAAGAATGCTACCATTAATACTCTCATGGGCTTCTACAGCACATAAGATGCAGGGATCAACTGTAGACTACGCAGTATTGGATCTAGGACCAGATGTATTTGCAGACGGTCAGGCATACGTAATGCTCAGTCGAGTAAGATCTCTTGATGGTGTTCTGATTGAGAAGCTAGAATGTGAGAAACTAACAGGCAAGAAACCTTGCAACAAGGAAGCTTTGAAAGAAATGGAAAGACTTAGAGCCATTGCACGAGACTAAATAAGCATAATAATAAAAATTGACTTTATAATATGACTAATACAACTTGACTATAGTAATATAATAATATAATTGCATAAATATATAATGACATTTAAATCTGACATAGTGCTCTCGGATCGCACTTTAAAAGGTAAGGTCCACTGATAGACTTCAAGTCTAACTTTTTGCAAACATAGTAGACGAATACACATGAGCAAAGTTCAGTAATATCATGATTGAAATATTGTCGAGATATCAATTATTTAACATGACTAAAAAGTAGAAAATAAAAATACTTAAAAAAAAACTTTTTTTTAAAAAACACGCTTTTATTTCCGATTACAGTGCACTAAAAAGAAGAAAATAATTTTTTTTCTGAGTACCCAAATTTGATACAAAATTTTATGACTAAAAATAAAAGCGTGGGGCGCTTATAAAAAACTTAAGTATATTTTCCATAATTTATTTACATTACGTTCTAATTATCCTTTTCTTGTTGATGTAAAGACCTTTAAAAATTTTGTGTCTCGAAAATAGCATCTATTAAATAGGTATTATGTTAAATTTGTATCTTTGACATGGAGGAAGTAGTTAGATTAAGCAAAGAAGTAGGACTATGTGTGATTTCTAATCTCGACCACACTGGGAATCCTACCTTAGTCTCAGATAAATTTTATTTTTACTTCACCTAGATTTAACATAATTTGTGTTGCCTTACGCCTTTCCTTAGTATGATACAAACATAAAAGACCTAACGTTTATATAAACATACACGGATGATTTTTTTAAATTGTTATGGAAAATATAGTTAAGTTTATTTTAAGCGCCCCACGCTTTTATTTTTAGTCATAAAATTTTGTATCAAATTTGGGTACTCAGAAAAAAAATTATTTTCTTCTTTTTAGTGCACTGTAATCGGAAATAAAAGCGTGTTTTTTAAAAAAAAGTTTTTTTTAAGTATTTTTTTCTTTCTGCTGTTGCTGCTACTTGAGAGGATGAGAAAAAATTGCGTGAGTTGTTGAAGAATTCGAGTTGGTTGAGGGTTAAAGCGCTGTTTTTGGAAGGTTTTTGAGGCAAACTCGGATGGCTTTAAGTCGAAAACTTATCTCAGAGCTGGTTTTTGACAAAAAGTCAAACGACATGTCCAAGAAATGTTTGTGGCAGACCAGAAATTGTTATTGAATCAGACTGATATGAGGAATGAATTTGACACCAAAGTGGCATAGCGAGACCAACTTTAGAAGATTTAAGGCGTTTTTTAGAATGGGCTTTACAGAAGAGAACAATATTGTGTCTAGATTTGTTGATATTAGAGCAAAACATGACTTAGATCAGTTTTAATTGTTAAAAATATCCAAGTTCCATTCTAAAACAAGATAATCGCTTCTTTACTCTGATCTAACTCTAGCATTAAGTTCAGTAATAAAGAAAGTCAATTTTCGTGCATCATATTCAATTGAACACTTTAAAGTTACCTCTTAATATTCCATAATATCAATATTACAAATATTTTGACATTTAATCAAACTGAAATCTCCAAAAAATTTAAAAGTAGAAAAATGCCGTGCGCCATATTCAGGACAATAGTTTAAAGTCTCCTCAATTATGACGCACAGCATTTTTTTAAATTTTAAAAAAATACAGACAGCCAGTCAGAATGTAATTAATTGAACCTTTCAAAACACACGAAAAAAAATCCACGCTTGCAGAAATAATTACAATTTTGCTCGACGAATTGAAAATAAAATATTTAAAAAATACTTAAAAAAAAACTTTTTTTTAAAAAACACGCTTTTATTTCCGATTACAGTGCACTAAAAAGAAGAAAATAATTTTTTTTCTGAGTACCCAAATTTGATACAAAATTTTATGACTAAAAATAAAAGCGTGGGGCGCTTAAAATAAACTTAACTATATTTTCCATAACAATTTAAAAAAATCATCCGTGTATGTTTATATAAACGTTAGGTCTTTTATGTTTGTATCATACTAAGGAAAGGCGTAAGGCAACACAAATTATGTTAAATCTAGGTGAAGTAAAAATAAAATTTATCTGAGACTAAGGTAGGATTCCCAGTGTGGTCGAGATTAGAAATCACACATAGTCCTACTTCTTTGCTTAATCTAACTACTTCCTCCATGTCAAAGATACAAATTTAACATAATACCTATTTAATAGATGCTATTTTCGAGACACAAAATTTTTAAAGGTCTTTACATCAACAAGAAAAGGATAATTAGAACGTAATGTAAATAAATTATGGAAAATATACTTAAGTTTTTTATAAGCGCCCCACGCTTTTATTTTTAGTCATAAAATTTTGTATCAAATTTGGGTACTCAGAAAAAAAATTATTTTCTTCTTTTTAGTGCACTGTAATCGGAAATAAAAGCGTGTTTTTTAAAAAAAAGTTTTTTTTTAAGTATTTTTTTGGGTTATAGTTTTGTATATTTGTGATAAGATGGATATTTTTTTACCTAGGGTTGAAAAAGGAGAAGTGATGGATTGGAAAGCTTGATGGTCTTTTAGGTCAATGATCCTGGGCTTTATGCTAAGCTTCTAAGAAGCCACTGCTTACTTTTAATGAGCAAAACAATACGAGAATCAACAACATCCACTTAACGTCAATAAATGCAAATCTTCAGAGCATCCCATTCCTAGTTTTTCAATCCAATAATAAGACACTAAATTCTCTTTCGTTTATTATATTTTATTTGACATTATCACAACATTATAAAGGCATAATCTTCATGCATACTAACCAACACCAATCAACCACTTCCTCATTAGTCTCTTCGCCATATCTAATGCTTAGAAAATTAACCATATAGAGTAACGGTCGTAATTTACTATCATGATTCTATGATGTGAAAAAAGGCTACATTCAGCACATACAAGTATCATAATTATTGCACTCGAAGAATTTTTTTTTAACTAATCTCATGCAAATTAATGAGATGCGTCTGTAGCATAAATTTTCCTATTGTCTCGGCCTCTCACATTGCTTAATAATTTTGCTTACTGTTTTTCATGCAGCTATGCTGGCAATATGATGCAGAATGAATGTTACGATAATCTTGATAATTCAACAGCACCTGAAAATGAACACTACACACAATTCATTAAAGAGTTTTCTCATTTACTCCATATCGACTTATAGTCTACCTTCTTTGCTTTCATTATCAGCTGTAAAGTTTACCGCGAAATTAAAAATTGTTGGAAAAATGAGTGGAATGTGGGAATGTTTGTAGAAACACTGCTTTTGGAGCGCATCTAATCGAAAGTTTCTGTGAATAATAAAGAGTAATTTGAGGGTTTGAAGGCTCTGGATAAGATTGAGTTGCTTATGAAGCTTTTTAATTAAATGTTATGCAAATTTGGCAATTAATCATAGTTAAGGTGAATGATTGAACTCGAATCAATAAGGTTTAGCATAGACTCTGCAACAGAGTTGGTCAACCTATGTGCTGCGACACTCTATGTGCCATTAATGATGTTTGAGCAATTTTTTAACTTATTAAATTAAAACTAGCTTTAATATAAAGATGGACCTCTAATAAGGATCAAAAACTGGGTAGCTCCAGTCAAAATGAGTTGCAGTTTCGAACATTTTTCATTCTTGCTAGCTTTAAAAATTTATTTTCATCAAAAAATTACCGTCTTCCAGTTTGCCACACATTAAAGTGCAATTGAAGTATTTTTTAAGGTTTTAACTTGCATCTTATCAACACTTCACGTTGATAAGCTTCAACATATTACTGCAATGCGCGCAATATTGAAAGCAATAACAGCAAAAAAAGGCAGCATCGACTTGCATCGTATGAAAGTTGACAAGCACAGGCAATATTCAATTTACATTTAAAACTAACGATATGTGTGTACATATTTTGTATAATCTTTCGACTTTTTTTTTTTCCTTCTGCCTCTCTCGTTTATTTACTTTGTACATACGTTACGATAAATAAACGGTCGGTCACATGAAAAGGGAAGTTTTCTGTAGCAGTTTTCGATGTGCTGTATAAAAAATACATATAAAAATAAAAATCGAAAGGAGAGGAAAAATCGAAGATGCTGATATGCTGCTCATGTTTTGATTTCTTTTTCGCTTGGTTAACTTCTGAATTATCAGCAGCGACCGAATAAAAGGATGAGGCTCTTTAGTGAAAATTGGTCTAATTGGATTTATTTTAAATTTCATTAGGCTTTGTGTTGAGAGTGTTAATGAGATTCGAAACAGATGTTTGTGGATTTTTGTAATTAATTTGTAGGGATTTGTAGTCTTTGGGATATTTTGTTGGTGTTCTTTCACATAAAATGTGCTCCATTTAGGGGGTAAGAAGGAGGGGGGATGTTGTCAGATAACTGATTTCTTATTGGAGTTATGCTTTCAGCTTTACATAGCCTAATAACACCTCAAGTCAATTTAAAAGATTCTAATTAGCCTCATTCAAGTCAATTCGAGTAGATCAATAAGCACAACAATCACCAATATCAACCATAAAGTTCATACATAACTAATGAGTTATGACAACTGCAGCCCATAAAATCTAATATTCTTCAGGTTCCCCACTTCGATCTTTCATCGACATCAACAGCAACAAAATAAAAAAGAAGAAATTCAGGCATTAAAAATATATTGAGCATTGATTTATGCTTTTTTGCATGTTGTATGTACGTTTGCTGCTATCCGCGCGACTGTCATCTCCCTCGTTTTATTATCTTTTATTTATATTATAATACTGTTCACTTTTATTCAGAAGTTATGCACATTGGAAATTCTTGAAAACATATCACTTTTTTTTCTTCTCCTTTTTCTGCCCTTTTTCTTATGTGCCATGCCGCAATATTGATCTTCTCTTACGTTTTGTTGCGCGCCTAGCAAGTTTGTAGATTCTCATTTTTTTTGTTCAGACTTTTTTATTTTAAGTTCCTTCGCTTTCTCATAACGAAACGTTCCGGTGATCTTCTGGTATTTTTCTTCTCGCCGATAGTCACTTTTGGAGGTTGCTATAGTTTTAATCTGTTTGATGGTTTTGTTAGCAGAATTTTCGGGATGAAATATGCCACATTGGGGAGCTTTGGTCTGAGCTAATCAACAATCTCTTTACATGTGTTTACTATATTGAACTTAGCTCGGTCTGAAATATTTACTGAATCTTATTATAACCGATAAAGGTAGCAGGAGTCGAACCCACGAATCCTTCGGTTTCTAGTCGCATACTCTAACCACTGAGCTATCGATGGTTGCGAAAAAGCTTTACAGAATCCAATCCCAAACTTTAATTTGCTATGAACAGTATCTTTGGTGTAGCTTAACTTGGGAACCTCCAACAATTTTGTCTTGCTTTCTTTGATCTTACACAAAAAAGAGTAAGTAAAGTGAGATGGAGCTAGATATTGTACATGATCTTAAATTACACATATATGAGAAAAGAAAACGCGACTACAATTAAAGAGAACGAGAAAGGCTGTTATGGACCCATATATTGCTCGCGAGAATTTCTACCTCTTTTTTATGCGATTTGTAATCTCTTCTTCTTTTCATTACTCAGGACAGTATTCAAGTGATTGCGGCTTTTTACAATGAATATTCATCCTTTTTTTTTCATTGCACTTTCGATTTTTATTTTCCACGAATGGAACAGTTTGTGTATGGAAACTATCTAAAAGATCGCAACATTCTGTATTTATTCTTCATCCACTGTCAGTGCCTGAATTTTTATTGACAGGCTCAGTTTTTTTTTGTGAGGAAAAAATGTAAAATTTAAATTTTTGGCATTAAATTTATTCAACATAAAAATTGTGTATATATATTTACCTCTTGTCTCGTGCCTTTCATATCTACCTCTATCTATGCCTCGTTTTTTCGATGCTTCTGACTGTCTTTAATGTCCATTCGATTACCTTTTGTTGTTGCAGCTTCTTTCCTTTGCCTTTTGTAATTCAAAAAAAAAAAAAATATTGGATATATTTTATATGTCGTATCCACTTGGTCTACACATTTTCCAACTTTTTTTTCTCCTTCTTTCTTATTTAATTCCTTTCATCGGCTCATGTATGTGGTTTCTCATTCTAAATAAAAAGAAATTATACTGAAATGTGCAACAGCGACGACGAGCGAGCAAAAGTGCCGTCAAATTCTCAAGAAATAGGGTTAAATATGGAAACTGTGAACGAGCGATTTTCAGATCTTTAGCTGATATTGTCATATTGCATATTTACCCTGTTTGTCTGCTTCTGCTGTTTCGTATGGACTCGGATATGTTGTGGCAGGAGATTTTGTGGATAAATCGTTGGATTTTTGGTTTAGGAATGGCGAGTTCTGGGCGCATTTTTCATTTTCTGACACAGTTTTGACATTTTTGGCAGTTGGGTCTAGTTTTGATTAAATTATTAATTTTAAGCATTTGATTGAGTCTGACTCTGTTTAATTTAAATCGTTTTGATCTTATCCTAATGTTGACTAAGCCTGACACACCCAGTTGGTCAGGAAGCTTAAAGTCTATGATATCCATTTACTAGCTTCTATGAATCCGAAGGAAATTAGATTCTGTCCAGGATAACACCAAGGGTGTTGTACTAAAGAAATGATCAAAATTGATCAAAATGTAATTCTTCAGTTTCACACCCTTGGATAACACATTCTAGTTCAAAGTTGACGTCATGCTGGTCCCAATGAACCTAACCTTAACATCCCTCAGGTTCTTCCTAATTATTTTCATTAGAAGAAACCAAAAGAGCCCCAAACTGCACATCCAGCGAAAATAATACCTCAAATCTCAAGCTTCAAACGACAAAGCACAAGAGATGGTTGAAATTTACATAATCGCGACATTCAAAAGCGCGGATTTTCTTTCTTGCATCTATGATCATCATTTTGCTCTTGTTGCAGTTCTTCTTGTCTTCGCGGCACTGAAATGCGTAGTCCTTAAAGTTAACATAAAAAACGTGCCTTTTTGTATTTTTATAACATTTTATTGAATTTTTTTTTTATAATAGTTTAATTGTTTTTTTTTGTGTGTTTCTGTATTATTTTTCAATTAATTAACTCATAATTAACACATTAAAGGTTCTTATTTTATACGATCAATTAGCAATTTAATTTAATATCTCATTTGTTGCTGTAAAATGCACACTGCCTGCTATTTACTTTATCGACCAATTATTTGTCAGATTAATTTTTCTAATCTCAATAAAACATTTTATATTCCATGATCTCAATAATAAAAAAAATATACAGAAATAAGAAATGTATTTATGCAGTCATGAATTAAGAGGCGATGCAATTCAATTGTGGAATGAATAAAAAATTGCATTATTGCATGATTTATTTGTGCCAGTTTTTCGTTTGTTTTTTCTCGCTACTGCAATAAAATTCTTATTTTTTTCCCATCATCAGCTTTTAAAAAGTCACGGTGGCTTTTTAGAGATCGAACGGTGGTTTATCATGGTGTGGATAGGTGGAAATTTATGTGGGGTTTCATTTTGTTGAATTGTTGTGGGGTTGTTCGTGGGATTAATATGAAATAGGGCTGGAATTTGGTACAATTGCTTGAAATACAATATTTTCCACTCAATTCTTTTCAAATTCAGTCAGTGGTCAGTGTTTTACTAACCCTATAAGACCCCTTGCTTTGTAAGATTCCAAAAATTTTATATTTTTGTAGTCAACCCACACCGTCAATATAAATTATAATTGCTGATGTCAAAAGATTAAAAATCCCTTTAGCATGTCCATCCTTATAGCGATAAATTCTAAAATGCCCTCGATTAATTTTTGTCAACAGCCCTGACCTTAAAAGTATTTCTTGGGTACCCAACGTTGTGAAAAAAGAATCTTTAGAATCGGATCATATGCAGCAAATCTGCTGCAGTCAGAATGAGACCTTTGTAAGTGCATGACCACTAAATTATGTACACGAATCCAGGAAAATTAACTACGATTTTACTTAGATAAGATTTTACCTTACAGAAAATCTTTATAAACTCATTTCCAAAAGTCAGAAAATTCAGTCCTTTAAGACAAAATAACAGTCAAGTCCCACTTATGCCTCATTCCACACCCTGAGTCATCTTATCATATTTTTAAATTTCAAAATCAAAGAAAATTAGAAAACAAAACGATTTGTTGAGTTTGTAAAAAGATTAGAGAAATTTTTAAAATCAATTCGATTCGATTCAATCAGGAAAGTATTTCATTCAAATACAGTGCATTGGATAAATGGATTATTATCATTATTTAGATTTTTATAACATTTTTCATTTCATCATTCATCGTTCAATATATTCTTAAAATGGAAGACTTGGTTACACTTTTAAATCTCAGTTTATTTTATATCTACATGTTTTATCGCATTCTTGTCTCTTTTTTATTTTTTGTCGGTATTGTCATGCTACATTTATTTATGTGTAAAATTTATAAAGCAAAAGCTCTTCATGTGAGCAATGTCTGTGTTCAGTCTTTACAATTGCTATAATTTATTTTATTTTCTAAATGCATTGCAAATATATTTTTTTTGCTCTTGAAAATTTAATTTTTTTATATTTTTTAAGTTGATTTTTTTTTGATTTTTTGGATAAAATAGCATTGTTGATTTATTTTTAAGAAAAGGTTCAATTTTGATGAAATTTCAGTTTTTGTTTTTTGGTGATTTATTTTTATTTGATAATGAAGAAGCTTTTGCTTTATAATATTTAAATTTTTGAAGAAACTTTTTTCACACTGTCTCAAATATAATTATTGTATAACTATCAATTTTTTTGAAGGAGTCAATTTTTTAATTTTGAATCACAATGTGAAATGTCAAAATAATAATTTTGACATAGATTTTCTATATTAAGCCTTAATTATCATTTTTTTTTTGGTTTTTATTTGAAATAGTTTTTGACATTAGCTGATCTTACTTGCTTTTAATATTTTATTGTAAGCAATCAAATTTTTTAAAAACTTTTTGAATATTCGAATAAAAATTCGAATTAGAAAAATCGCTTTTAATATTTTTTTTAATTAGAATGACTCAAAAGAAGTTGTTCTGATTCCATTTTTAATAGTTCAGTTGACTCAATAAATTGAAACATTTCTTGAAATTTGCAATCTTAATTCTTATTTTTAAATTTTGGTTTTTAAAATTTTAAATTTTTTAAAAACTTTATGATCTTTAAAAAAATCTGGATTTTAACTCTTTAAAATTCGACTCCTTCATCAAAAACCGTTTTTTAGCATTTGTTTATCATTTTGTAAATTTGTTAAATACAGAATATAATTTAATTTAATAAACATCTATATAACTTTACGTTTCATTCACTTGTTTCATTTAAATAGAGAGGAAATATATTTGGAAGACGTTGGATATTAACTGCAGTTACTTTATATATAATTAATTTATTCAAGCTATCAAAATACTTTTTTTTGTTGTTGTGTTTTATGCTTTCCTATAGATTTATGTTGGAAGTTTTTTACTCATAAATATCATTATGTTTTATTATTGTCGATATGTCGATAAATTTAAGTTTTCATTTGGATATCATTTAACAAATTTTCTTTGTAAATTAGTTTAAACTTCTTTAGTTACTATTTTATTACTATCAACTATTATAAAACAAACAAAAAAATTGTCAATAATACGGAGCTATATGTTTCTTTATTTTTATGCTTTATAAAGTGTTCAAATAGCCACAAGATAATTATTTTAAGCTAATTTTAAACTTGATTCGACTTTGATTTAAAAATTCGAGCAGAATCTGGTTCGTTGGGTTTTATTGCAGGTTTATTTTTTTTTCTAGAACTTTATTTGAAATTTATTAATTCAAATGTTAAAAAATCCGATTCATTCGTGTAAATAGGGTTGAAACTAAGTCTCACAAGCAAGAACATGAATAATCTTAAACAATTAAGATCAATCTCGATTCAGAAGAAAGATTATGTCCGTAAACTGATAAGAACATCTTTTATAAATCTTTAAATTCTTCTTTCTTAATTTCAATAAGTTCAGTATATTAAAACCTTCCAAAACTGAATTATTAAGATCATCAAGTGGCTATTTGAACTTTACATACATTATATATTCATTATTGTATATTTATATGTTTCATTTCGTTTTTCTAGCAATAAATAAACTGCTTCATCATAATTCACTCAGAAATTGACAAAAATATTTCAACTGCTACACATATTTTTGCTTTCTTTTCTCAAAATATTGAAAATAAAAACATAAAATTTTACTTTTAAAAAAATCTTTATAAAGCACTCACGTTTTTCTGCAGCTCTCATTTTTTAAAAGATAATTAAATATTCATACGAGTCAATAAAGTTCTTTTCCCATTTCTTTGGCATTTCCAACACTTTTCTGTGAACATAAAGATTTATGTTTTTTGACCATTTGCGGTATTTTTTCGTGTTTAGATCTTCAAAATTCTTCCGTGTCTCGGTCTCATCACAAAATTTCATCTCCGCAATCCGTTTGGCTTACCTCTCTTCTTTCTCCCCTGTGTGACTGTGTCTTTCTGGCTTGCTCGTTCTACCTTCTTAAGCATTCCTTTTAATCTTTTGGTTTTAGCGCATTTTTGATGGAGAATTGAGTGGTGTTGTTGATGATTTTGGTTTTTGGATACGAGGTCATGTTGGATGTTTTAAACTAGGTGGGTTCTAGTCAGGGGTGAAGCTAGTAGAGGGGTTTTATAGTCAACAACCCTCATTTAGGTTTTTAAGAATAAAATCTCAACTGCTCCAATCATCAAATTTAATTTCAATTTTTTTTGCAGCACCCCTGGTTCCATATGAGTCTTAGTATTGATGCTTAGGAGACGAAATGTTTTAAATTATTTTGTAAAATTTTAAAGTTTGACAAACTTATTAATTTTGCCAATTCGACATCTTCAAACCCAAATCATCACAATCACTCTTCTCAAAAATGCGCCTTAAACTCTGTCAATAGTTAATTTTGTATTAATTTAATTTCTTACTCATTCGTATCTTTTTCTTGTGTGCTTCAAACATTTTTATCGAAATGAGAGAATTTGCAAACCAGCAAAAAAATGTATTTTTTTTATCCGTGCAGTTCCCATCTAATTTGGTTTGTAAATTATTGTTTTGTTAATTTGGTTTTTTGTTAATTTGTATCTCTATAAAGGTCCCACCGGTCCGAAGTCGAGCAAGCAATAAAGAGGAAAGAACAAGCATAAAAAGACGACAGATTCTCATGTTTTGGCTTTTTTTTCTTTATGTTGTTTTTTATGTTCCGATTAAAAAATTTTCGGCAAACCTCTTTTCCCTTTTGATTTGCCCCTGCGTCTCGTGTTTCAGTCCTTTATGCTGCTTTATTTAAATGTGAAATACCGTTAGTTCATCGTTGATCTCGTTAATTAATTATAAGGCGAAGACAACAAAAAAAGTACGAGAAATAAAAGTTAAGAGTTGAAAAAATTTGTGTTTGTTCTTTTAACGGCAACAAGTTGCTGTGCATGAATTTAGAAAGGTAAGCCAATTTCGAAGGCCTTAACAAGTGCATTTCCTGAATCGTATATACCGACAAAGCAAAAAAGGAATCCGAGACCAATAATAAAGTAGTCATATGCTACATCTTTCTGTTCAAGTAAATGTCCTTTAAGTTTAAGGTGGAAGTAGCATGGCCAAATGAAACTTAACATTGTTCCGGTGAAGCTTCCGATGAAGCCCATCAAAATTGAAAAGTGTGGAATGAAGCAAGCCATTAAGACTGAAAATAAGATAACGCCAACGCGCCATAATAATCCCCACACTTTAAGTTCACCGTCAAGTTCCCAAATTTTTGGGAAAATTGTTTTTGGCTTGCCACGGAAAAATGCACGTTCAAGAAGTTCGCAAGCTGCAAAATATGGCAATGGAAAGCTGAGCACAGCCTTAACGACAAGACAGAAGTTTACAAATCCTTTAAATCCCGCTGAATGTAAATTGTTTGTGATAACTTGTTGCGTATCCATTTGGAATGTGAGGAAGCAAACGTAACCGAAAACAGCTTTAAAAGCAGCCGCCGCAATATGTGACCAATCAAGCATCCAATTAAATTTAGATGGATCCTGCATATTACCCTCTAAAGTCGGTAAAAATATTTGTGACGTATATGAGAAGACAATGACGCCTAGGCAAATGGGAAAGTTCTCTAAATCCATTGACCATCGAACCTTCGACCATCCCCAGTCGCCTATTTCCAATAAACAATAGCCCAATATGATAACATTTATGACAAGATGTGACATTGTACACCAAAATGATAGAACTGATACAGCGTGAATTGATTTCAGGAATGCTAATGGCAGTAAAAAGATGGCACAGAACATCATCCAGGATCTAAAATTGATAAGAAAAGAAGGTTTGAGATTAGAAGTTTGTGAAATATTTTATTAAGTCTTGTCAGGAATTATGACTAAAAATGTGCTAAAAAGTTAAAAAATTGTTAAAAATTTGGGTTATTGTGGATGTAGAAAATTTAATTTATACAGAATGTTAAAGCCATCTATTAAAAATGCCGACATCAACACATGTACCCAATTTCGCGCACAATTTTGCAGTCAATTGATCGTAGCTATTTAAAATGTTTCCAATAAATCAACAATAACCCAATAAATCACATCAAACCATCAAAGCTCCTAAACGTGTGACTCACCCAATATCTCTCAGATCTACAACTTTAATCTTACTATAAAAATCTTTAATATCAAATGTAAACAGGCACGAGACAATCGACGAAACTCACCTTGAATCCAATGGACCGTCGGGAAAAGTACCAGCCATTAAATCACCGCAGACAACGATATACAAGATGCATGTCATTAGCAATTCAATAATTTGTGCAACGCTGACAACTCGTGCTCCAATTTTCTTACCGAAACATACTTTTGCAATTGCTACATAACTGTCACGAACACGTAATGGCTCTCCTGTTGCTGGATCTGGCTCATATAGACATTGAACGAGAATCTAAAATGATTTTTCAAAATAAATTTTTTAATATCAACTGCTTTCTTCACCAACACTAACCTTTCCAGTGTAACAACAGATATGTGCAACACCGACCATCGCAATAATCGCCCAGTAACCTCCACGCAATACAGCGAAAGGCAATGAGACAATAAACATTCCCTGAATAGCATTTGTGACATTCCATGCTGCTTGAATCTCAGTAATTTTAACGCCGGGCGGTCCACCTTCTCCTTCACCACCAGCAAATGTGCTGTCACTTCCGAATGATTGTGTGCTGGCTTGTCTGGAAAGGATAATGTAAAGAATTTTGAGGTTAACTGTAGAAAATTGATGATAATTGAACTATTGAGTGAAGGTTGAGTTTAAAGCTTCTGACAATGCCATAAATAGGTACTTCTGATGGATGAAGATATGTCAACATTAAAGCTATAACATCGTAAAGCTTGCCACATTAGCACACAACTTTTCTCTTTGTCAGAAATACAAAATAAAGTGTACTTTTTATGATTTCAAAATTTAATTATTTTTTTCTTGCATAGCCATGACTATAAGTGCTCTGGTTAAAAGAACATAGAGTTTAGGAACCGACTAAGATTTCGCATATAGTGGATTTGACTTAAATTTGCTACTCTGAATGTGACTTAAGTAAGGAATCCATAATAAACCTAGAACCCGGCTCTTAAACTAAGACATTGTCACAAAACTTGAATAAAGACACTTTGTCAATTCTTTCCACAACCCTGCATAACATAACCCAACTTAAAACGTCTGTAGCCAAACTCACCTAGCCGGAAATCCACCTTGCTGATAATTATAATCTCCTTGATTAAAACCAGTTTCCTCAAACTGATAACTACTCTGTTGTGCATTTTCCTCGCCATATCCATTAGGATTTCTAAATGGATTCAATGGATTCAATTCCGTTGGTTTCTGTCCCGATTCATCTCCAATTCCGTCAGCAAAATGAACATTATGAGGTTGACGATGATGAGATGATTGCGATGAAATTTGAGACGACCCACCATATTCAGATGTTGGTGCTGTTGGATCTTCATACTGCTGCTGCTTTTGTCTGTCTGGAATGGATTGCTTTGCTTGCTGCCATGCATCCTTTAAGACATTTTTAATTGGTGGCATTGGGGCGCCTTTTAAGTTGCTTAAAAATGACATGATTAATTGATTTTTCTTTAACGATATAATTTGACTTATTAACTATGGAAGACGTTTATTGTCGAAGAAATTTTCTTTTTGGAAGACTTTTCAGTGATTTTTTTTATAAAGTTTTTTATGAGTTTTTTCACATAAATTTTATCACATTTGAAAATTTCTAATTGATGAGTTCCTTAATTATATTCACTTATATACTAAAATTTCATTGTTTCGTGTAGCTACTCAAAATGACACTATTGCTTTGGATGTGAGACGAAAAAAAATTGATTTTTTTTTCACTTTACACTTCTCCTCTTGGTTGAATATGGTGAGTGAAATTATCGATTAGAATCCATTTTGGCAAAAAGAAGGATATGAACTTTTTTCAATTGATATTTTACACATTAAATTGATGAATTTCCGGCTCAATTTTATCACTCGATTGGTGCGACGATTTTGTTGAATAAAATTAAATTAAATTTTATATGAAATGGATTACAGTTTCACTAATATTTAATTAATTTATGCTAAGAAGATTTGTTTAAATCTTGGTGGTGAAACTGGAATGAAGATGAAAAAGGAATACTGATGAAAATGAAGGGGGATGCTGTGGGGGATGGAAAAGTTTTTCATCTTTGCTTTTGTGCTATGCAGTACATCACATACACATTTTCTTTTCATTCTGTTTCATTTTCTGGGGTGTTTCGTCTGAGATTTGGATGTGGAGTGAAATTTGAATTTTCTATGACCGTTTAAGACTTTTAAAAAAAATCACATTTAAATATTTGTTTTTGATAAATTCTTTATTGATCAATTACTTATTTATATATCCTACAGCTCGGTCATATCAAGTCATATAAGTTACGCAGAGAAGCTCCAAGAAGCAGTCAATATTGAGATATAGAGAAGACAATCAATGATTTCTGCAAATTCGTGGACAAACTTGCAGAAACCCCAAACACAAATGGAGATCGATTCAAACTATTTCCCAAGTATGACATTGCTAAAACGGAGAATCAAAAATCTGACGATGAGTCAGAAGAGGAAGAAAAAGATGAACAGATGAAAGAGCAAGAAGAGGATGTTTTGATTAAAATGCAACGGAGGTTTAACATCTACCCAAGAGATGACACATATAAAAATATAGATAATTTCGATAATTGTATTTTTTGGAATAGTGCAGGTCTTTAAATAGCTATATGCTGATGGACCATAATAAAAATAATAATAATAATAATAATTACTTATTTATAAAAGGTTACCAGGCGCATAGCCAGACAAATCCCCCTACGTTAATAGAAGTTTCTCATTTTGCTAGGGTTTTCATGAAAAAATCCTAAAAGTACCCCCACTTCCCATAAATTTTTCATACAAATTTTTTTGTCCACCCTCTTCAAATTCCTGGCTACGCCACGTACGGTTATTTTTTTAAATTTTTCCAAGGATAATCGCCTCCATCAAAAAGTATTTAAAGTAAAGCTCCTGCTTCTTAAGTCCAAAATTTCATACATTTCAAAATTGTTCTTAAAGGCACAGCTTAATGTGCGGACAGAGAACTTGTACAAACTAGGTGACAGAGCCAGCAACAGAGTCAGATGAAAAGCCATTTGTTGTAATTTAAGCTCCACATAGGAACATGGTTACATTAATTGAGTATTGCTAGACTTTTATGACAAATATTTTAAGTAAAATCAAAACTTATGTTTATTTGAGTTTTACAAATTAATTGTACAGCTTTAAAATTCTATGTCATCGTCGTCGTCTTCCTTAACAATTTGACTTACTGCATTCCCATCACTCAGATTTTTGTTAAGCACTCCTTTCTCTTCATCAGTTGATGCTTCATTCTCATCTTCAAGATTATCTGTCTGAACTTCCTTTTCTGCAGATGTTCTGTACACTTTTTCTGGGATATAGGAAATATCTTCCTTTTCAAAACTTACTCGTCCGATGAAATGAATCAAATTAGTTCTTGTGCATCTCACGATAAACATGAATGGATGAAAGCAGCTAAAATGATCAGTTTGTTGTGTTGTTGTCCATCTTATTATGGATGCTGTAGGACGATTATGATGAGAAATAAAAGCTGAATTAATTTTTATTAAGAGATTAGATAAGCACGTTCTAACCCTCACCTGTTGATGTCGAAATCTTATCTCCTTCCTCATTAATTTCAATGCAAGCTTTTTGCACTACATTATTCAGCATAACATCATGATCTTCATCAAACATTTCTTGAAACTGTGCTATTGGGGAAAATATTCTCGTAATTCCCAGCTGTGCTTAGTAAGAAGAGATAAAAAATATTGAGAATGTAAGTTTTTTTTCAGCTAAGTACAGATTGTATTGCAAACGATGGTGAAATTCATTCATTTGATAATAAATTTCTATAAGATTTTTTTGAAGCTTTATGCTTGCTTGATATGAGTTTGTGTGACAGAACTAATTTGTTTTTGTAAAAAAAATATATTCACAAAAATTGGAAATTTTGTGTGAATATGAAATATAGTAATTAATATTAAAATTTGATTAGACTGCTTTAATACGGAACTTGGGAACTGTGCAATTCTGAATTCGATAAATATAACCAGCAAAGTAAGGCTATAGCCATGGAGAGGATTTTTTCAAATCATTTTTCCTTCTTAACGTGCAAATTGCTTCATTTCGCTGGTAGTTTTTGACAGAAACTCTAAACATTCCAAAACCTCCATCCGAACATTGACGGATATAACGGACATGTCGGAAGTTATGGTACAACAAAGATTTTTCTCATCCAAATAGCAGACTCTAGCTCTCAATTTCATTTAAATTGGACTTTGATGACACATTAAGATCGAATAGTAAAGTAAAATCTCGTAAATCTAATAAGCAAAGACATCTTACCTTCTTCAACGGCTCAATCATATTCACATTACTCTCAATCCTAAAAACAGGAATCTCAGCAGTAACTGTGATAGGCTTCAAATACTTCACAGCTTCCATAATATTGATTGTACTAAGTTTTTGCTCAAAATCACGCAGTCCATTTGGATTGTTCGGGAGAATGAATGTCATGACTAAATCTGAGTTTTTGAATGGCAGTTCCAGTAGTCTTACTCCGAGGTACTTTATTGATGCATATTTCATGATTGTTCTTGAACACATATAATCTACATAAATTGTGTGACGATCATCAACAAAAAATGGACTTTTAAAAGATTCTCGTTTATCAAATTCTTCATCCCAAGGTCTTCGGAAGTAGATAGCATTAGCAATGACCATTTTTGTGTTTCCACTAAGCTCTTCTTTTGAGATGATTTTTCCGAGCTTTTTTTGCGTATTGCTAAGTGCAAAGTGGTTGATTTTTTGGGCTACTAATCTTCTGTTGGTGAAGTCGATGTACTTTGGTGTGTAGTCAAACATTTTCCTTGATATGTGCTTAAATGATGGAATCTGTTTAAGTCCTTCGGATATGTACAATCGAGTTGCTGTGAGAATTGGAGGAAAAATTGCAAATTTTATTTTGAAAATCAAACTTTAATTTAAGGATGAAGAGATTTTGAATTTTGTGACTTAAAATTCTGGATGCCTCAAGAGTTAACTGCAGAACTAAGTTCTTTTGATGTCGAAATCAGGTTTTGTTGAATAGTTCCGAAATTCTTTGAAATAACATAGGTAGAACTAATACTTTAATATCTAGCCTCATACCAATTCATATGGGTAGCCTTTACTTACCAACTTTAACTCCCTTTGTCTTCTTTATTTCCTGCATGGTTGTTTTACATTCCTTTGCAAGCACAGCTATCGTGAATTTTTTTTCAAGTTTTAATGCTTTCATTAATTCCCATTGAGTTTGTGTACCTCTTCCAGCACCAACAGAAGCAACTATGAGAGGGATCTCTAATGTTATTGGTGAGATGACTAAATTTCCCTTTCGTCCTTCAACAGTTTTCTAAGTTTTTGAATAAATTAAATTGAAACTAGACATTTTTTATAAATTGTTAAATTCAGCGTTGAATATAAATTTAATTTTTTATGGAAAAATTGCTAAAATATTGTAGCTTTTTGGTCTCAACTAACCATATAAAGATCAATCGCAAACTCATTGAATGCTTTCACAATTTCACTTTCAGGTTCTATAATTCTTTCTCCCATTTTTGATGATGATTTGATGCTGACGATCTTCAAACAGAAACTGAGAGCATTCTGTACTTTTAATCATATTTATAGTTTTTATCAACCCTAATTTATATTATTTAATTGTACATTTAAGCAGCAAGTGAGCTACAAAACAGAGAGAAATCTCAGCACATAGAATGTAATTCTTGAAAACACTCTCACAATTTGCTTGTTTATAAGCTCGCGTACAGAACCGTCAAAACGATTTATTTTGTTTTTAATAGCAGAGCAAATTTGAATTACTTGCTTAGAATCTCAATTGAATCAAATGTTTTTCTTTCATCATATGATGAATTTCACCATTTGTTTCTTATCAGTTTTGGCATGGTTTCTATACGTAAATTTAATGTTTTTCACTTGCTTAAAGATTAAGGATTTTTGAAGGATTGATCAGAGCTAAGATGAAATAATATTTGAGTTGTTTGAAACAAATTATTCATTTTTTTGAGAGAAACTTTTTAAGATTTAAACAATTTTTTTTTCATTAATTTGATAGATTGAGATCCAATAAAACATAAAAAACCATAAACCTTATTTTATAAAATTTAAAAACTTAATAAAAAATATTTCGAGTGTCTTAACCTTTAAAATTTTTTTATCTTAAGTTTCAATGTTTCGTAAAATTTTCAAAAGATGGCGTTAGGTCATGTAAGTTTGAGACATAACAGTCAATACAATATTTTGTTAATTATGAGCTGATTACTAAAGATGTTCATTATAAATGAGAAAGGTTTCAAAGCCATGCGTCCTTAATAACCTAAGAATAATAAAGTTGGTTACAAATAGATAAACTGCTAGGACTAAGTTCGTCTTGACTCGCTAAATGCTGGTTTAAAACCAATTCTTATTACGAAACAGAAATAAGTAGTATAAATGTATTAATCTGCGAGAATTCAAGCATAACATAACCTAGAAAAAACTGAAAAAATTGTCATGTAAACATGCTTTTAATAGTTAAACTAAGCATCTATAGTCATAAATATTAGATGATTTATTTAAAAATGGTTTAAAATTCGTTTCCTTAATTTAGACATAAAAATGAAAAATAACATGAGTATCACAAAAAGTTTAAAATTCTAAGTTCCTCAAAAAAAGATTTTTTTTTTTAAAATACTAGCTGAAGACATTTGTAAGTACACAGGTAAGTAGTAAAATAGGCAATGAAGAAATGAAGACTTTTGATCCTGACGAGAAAACTTCGTCAGATGGAGAATAATCTTGGCACGTAGGAAATCCTCTTGGCACTGGCAGCATTTCATCAAATTCTCCAACTTTTAAGATAACTGCCATTCCTATTTCAGCATGGAAGTCTAAATGGCAATGCATAAGCCAAACTGGAAGTGGAAATATAATTTTATTAAAATCATAGCTATAAGAATTTCAAATGCTCAAACTTACGTCCAGGATTGTCAGCAAAAAGTCTGATGATTGTATATCCACCATCAGGTACAGTGACTGTATCTTTCTTCACAGAATCTGCAAACTTCCGTTTTAACTTTCCTGCTTTATCAAGCTCTTTAATTTGTTCTAGTGAAACATTAGTTCCGATTCTGTCCATTCCTACAACATGGAAGTAGTTTCCATGCAAATGAAACATATGATTAGCTTCGTACACAACTCCTTCGTCTATTAAAATCATCTCAACCAAAGAATTTAAAGGAACTTGAAGAACATGGGTACATTGACAGAATGTTTCCTTGCAGTTGATTCCTTGAGCTTCTAGTGATGATGCATTGCAAAATTGATGCTCTAGCAAGTCTTGGACAATCATTGCTGGGATATGCGGAAGTTTCATAGAAATATGGTTGATTTGTGGCGTGTAGATTTTCCCGAATGTCACTAAAATTGAGTATTAAAAATATTAAGCTATGATCAATGAAAAAAATGTTTCTCAAAAATTCTCACCATTATCAAATCCATAAAGTCCAGCAGGATGAAAAAGTGAATTGTCTTTAGCATAGAAATCATAAGAAAGATAAAACTTAACATCCGGTTCCTGTTTTGATATTAAATTCTCTGTCTTCTCAACAGCCATCGTCTCAGCAACAGTAATTGATCCACTAGATCCATGTGGAGCATTTAAAGCATTTAGTGTAGTTCCACTTCTATTGAAATTGTAACTTTTTGGATTCCCAGCTGGAATTTCATCACCAGCTCCATTATAATGCAAAACTGCCATTTGAAAGGAACTTGTAGAAGCACAATCAAGCATCCCACGAGCTCTTATAAAGTAATTTCCGACTTCTTGATTTGCATTGACAATAAAGTCCCAACGCTCTCCAGCATAACTGACCAAAAATGTTACTTCTTTCGGTTTTATGTTAGTTCCATCTGTAGCAATTGCAGTTATTGTGTGATTGTCTATTGATAATTCTATCGGGCAGTTAAGGAAGCCTGCATTAATGTGACGGAATCGATATCGATTTCCTTTGACAACATTGAAGGTTTCATATGGAACTAAAGGTGAATCCTCGTCTGCTGGTGCTAATGCTCTTTTAAATCGATGGCTAGGCTGATGATAATGGTAAGTCTCATGTCCATAGTTGTAAGTTGTTGTTTCTAGGATGTCTGTAACTGGAATTTCTGTGGTTGTCTGAATTTCTTCCGTTGCTGTTGCTAGTTCTTCTGTGATTATTATGAATTCTTCTTCCTTATTCTGTAGATTTAAACTTTTTTCGGATATCTCGGCTGTCGAGCTAATTTGATCACTTCCTTTAGTTGTTGTAGATAGTTTCGCAAGTGCTGTCAAATTTCCATAATATTTTCCACGTCCATTAATCAAAACATTCGAAGGCTTATTGTCACCACGCCCATGATAATGTGCTGTGAACTTTGAATTTACAGGCTCATGGATCCAGTCCATTGTCAACAGAATATGCTCCGAGACATCGAAATCATACAAACTTTCATGAAACTCTTCAACTTCTCGAACAATTAATGGACCAACAAGTCCATCACTTCTTTGAAGTCCTAAATGTGAGTGCCACATATGAGTTCCTGGATTATCAGCTAAGAAACTGTAACGGAACGTTTGTCCTGGATATATAGCACATTGAGAAATATGTGGAACACCATCCATGAATGGGGAAAGTCTTTGATGCATTCCATGCCAATGAATTGAAGTTCCTTCAGACATTAAATGGTTTTGGACATCAACGACAATTGTGTCGTTTAGACAGACTTCAATGGTAGGTCCAGGAAACATTCTATTAACAACAATAATGCTTCTTCTCATTCCATCAGCAGATATGCAGTGTGGTCGATAGCAGTCAGTCATATTTCGAGGACAGTTGTAGCATGCTTTACTCATTGTTTCGTATTGCTCAATAATAAAATCATAGTGGCAGGTAAGTGATTCTCCTTTTTTGCAGTCTCTGAGGCATGGATGTGAACGGTAATTGTCTCGATCGGTAAGTTCGACTTGATTTATCTGAGTTGATGATGATCCTGGAAAAATATAAATTAAGTGCATAGAAATTAGTGCTTAATATATTGACTTACTTTGCTGACGATAGTTACAGTATGGACAACAATCTCTAGACTCTATATTATCCCTAGGACAGTTCCTCAATTTCGGACAAGACTTTTCATAATAATTTATGCGAACTTCAAGTCCGTCACTAACGCATTCATTAATTGTACAATTGTCAGCACTCTTCCATACATCTCCTTCCATAAATGACTCTTGAGTATTTCCATCAATGCACAATGCGGCATAGCACTTGCCACAGCATTCACCCGGAACTGTTTTGTACACAAAATTAATGTCACATGTTGAGTTGCATTCCTTCTGAACCTTTTCAATCTTCACATCAGAATTGCATCGATAACTAATGCACGGATTATTTGTATTTATCCATGATTCATTCACGGATAGGAGCTTTAGATTCCCGTCTAGTTTCAATTCACAAACTTCAGCTGAAAATGGAAAATAAAATAATTTATAGTCAAATTAACATTGCAAATCAAGAGATTTAAATGCGAGCATGCGACTTTATTATACGGCATGCGAAACGTGACTCATGTCAGCTGATGAGAGGGAAAATAAGCGAAGCAGGTGGAATGTTGAACAGCTGGATTTAATGACGTTTTGTAAATAAATATTGATGAATGAGATTCAGAAGCTAGGAATGGAATTGGGCGATGTGACTTTTTTTTTGGCAATAGACCATATTAATAGGTTTTGGTTGACGGTACTTAATAACAGTGTTGTTACATTAAGGAACGGAGGGGGATCATAGATTGTAAATTGACATTTCTATTTTTTGAATTTAGCCCATCCCTACGACAACCAATTACTAGTTTAACATACAATCAGCTCAGTGGTCAAGTAGCAGTAACAATAAAATTTACCGACAGCACTAATCATGATGATTGTAATTTTTATGTCTTTGTAAACATCCGACAAATATATATTATTACTTTCGTGGAGTTGTTTCAATGTCAAGATGTACATAAATAAAATTTTAAATTGCATCACCGCCATCCACAGCATCTTCAATGAATTAAATTAAGAAATTTTTTGCAGTATCGCGATGAAGCAAATGTTCATTACTAAATACAATTTCTATGGATGGCTAATTAATAATTTATAAAGGTGCTGAAGAAATATTTGATTTAATTTGTGAGTTCAAGTAAGTTTTAATGGAAAGACTTGTAATTAATTGATGTTTTTTTTTTTGTAACACATAGTCAGTGCACCGGAAAGTTTTATTGGATTTGTAATATAATTATTGAATAATTGTAGGATTGAAAAAGTTTCTAATGAATCATTTAGATAGAATGAAAATGTTCTTGGAATTTTTTTGAAGCATTGCTGATCAGACACATTTAAGGAACTAAGTTCTATTTTTAAATAATTATTAATTTTAGGTTTTTAGCATTTGCAGAATTTAGACAAACTTGCAGAATTGGAATTTTGTATTATTTGCTGGAAAGTCCATTGCATTAGTAAGGTTAAGTTTAATAAAATTGATCCGGAAAAGAACTAGATGGATTAAGATCTCCTATATATTAGTTTAGTATAGTGTTTCGCAAAATGCCTGTCCAACTCATTCACACTGCCAACTTAATACATAAAAATAATTTCTAATAGAATCTCCTTAATAACAGCTTAAAAGCTGTCATAAATGCTCACACAATAAGCGTGTCGATTCTCTAATTCTATCCTATTTGCTAATTAGCTTCAATGTTTGTAATTAAATTTTTTATTATCTCGTCTACTTCTTCACCTGTTGTAAAATAGCTATTACACAACACTCGACCTTGAGAATATAGCACAAATTTTTTTATTTTCATCTCATTGTTATTATTCCCGTTCATTTAAATCCAGTTTCTATTGAAAATGATATAATATATCAACTTACGCGTTCCAGCTTGTATTACTTCAGCACGTACGCATTGACATAAATATATGACAAACAGGAATTTTACTATCATTAGCTTGTTCATTGTTAATTCACTTTCATTTTCATTCAAGAGAAAAAAAATGTTTGATTTATTGCTGCTCTTGCAGGTTGTTTAGTTTTTTTTTGGAGCTTCTTTATGGCTCTAAACTAGATTTTACTTGTTTTTATTTTTAAATGTTATTTGAGTTTTTTACACAATGAATTGATTTGAATTTAAATTCACTTTTTACACTAAAGATCTAACATTAAGTTACAAACTTAGTTCTTAGTCTATCTTGATACTTTGATCACTTAATGAATTTTTAATATTTTTCGAGTAATTTAAAGATTTTTTTAAATAATTTTAAATTCCCGAATAATGTTCAACATATCCAGTTTGACTCGTGCAACTTTGAATGACAATTTTTTCAAAAATTCACTTTCTTTTAAATTCTCACAATTTCCATTTCTTTTCAATTGCAAATCATTCCAAATATTTGTTTTTTGATAGCATTTTACTATTTTTTTAAGTTGTTTATCTTTTCTTTATAGTTCAATTAATTTTTATGACATTGACACTTGTTATCTTAATTTTGTCACTAAACGTTGTTCAGCAGTAAAAGGTTTTAGTAATTATCGCGACATGCGAAATTTTCTTCGTTATTGACCTGTAAAATAATTAAAATTTTGTTTATTAGACTTTAATATTTTAAAAGCCACAGAATCATTTAAAGCAGTGCTGTTCAAACTTTGACCACGACACACTTTGACTTTAGATATTTTTTTCACGGAACACCTAAGGATGTCCAACGGCATACCAGCAAGTCAGTTTAACGTATTCAGTAAATTTATCAATAAAGCAAATGAGCAACAAAAAATAAATTCGGGGATTTCTTAATAATTCACACGTGATCCTACATCTCAAAAAGATTATTAATTTCCATCAGTTACTAAAAGGTCATTGAAAAGTCATTTCAAACTTGACAAGTTCACTGAAGCTCCGCATTAAATAATTGGCGATGATGAAGTGTTGAGACTTGAAATTATTGGTTACAATGATCAGCAATTAGAATTATTCACATTGTTACTGAACTTATGTTGGTTTGTAATTTGATGAGGAAACACATTGTATATAATTTAATGTAATAAATGTGATCATGGTCCTTAGAACTTCAGTTAATAAATCTACGACATCAAATGAAATCTGCCCACTTTTAAATGAACAAGTCTGCATCAATGTTTGTCAACAAACTTTTCTTATCAAAAAAATAAAGAACTTGATTCAATTTTATTACAATTTTTTTTAAAACCAGATATTACATAGTGTATAAAGTCTTGAAGATAATGAGTCAATCATTAATTTTGAAGCTTGTTCTGTGTAATGATTAAATATGTTAAACGACTTCAAATTAAATTTTGGGATTTCCCTATGCATTGATTACGGTATGAATGCACTAAGGTATGTAAAAGTGGGTCGGTTATTGAAATTCTTGAGATTTTTTTGAAATTATTTCAAATTTTGGATCTTAGCAAAGATCGTGAAATTTTAATTGATTGAAAAAATTATAGTTTCTGGATACTTTTTCGCTATTTAAATTAGGTTTTTTAAAACTTTTTAATTATTTTTATTAAATTGTTTCATTTTTAATTTTATAAAACAAAATCATTATTATTAAATTGTTTTATTTTAAACTTTTTAATTTTAAAATTTTGAACCAAATTTTTCTTAAAATTTTGAATTTTATTTTAAAGTTTTTCGTAAGTTGCCAAATTGAATTTTTTTTTTAATTTTGCATTAAAAAAATCACTTCCACTTAAATTTTTGCAGCAATTATAACTTCAATTTACACCTTTACTTCCATTACTTAACAATATTATTACCTTTACTACTTTTTTTTCTCAGAAATATTATCACAAAATATCTCATTAATTAATTTTTATGTAAATTAATGAACAACTTAACTTCACACTTTATATTGACCGCTCATTAGCGAATTTAAAGCTTTAGTTGGCTTCTACACGAATATTATTTTCAGTGCGTCTTCAACGGGGATCTAACAGCAACTAATCGAAACTGATGAAAAGATCACAATGTTGTGGTTTTTTTGCCTTTGATTCAGGTTTTTATTTTCATCGACGGTGTTTATATTTATTTCCATTACACACGTTAGGTGAAATAATTTCATCAATGTTGTTTATAGAAAATATTGAAATTTTTTGTCGTTTATAGGAAGAACTTTTAGAAGTGCTTTCGATGAGACACGAACTGGAAATGAGGAAAAAAATGAGAAAACGTGTGATAACAAAAATGTTTTTTTTTTTTTTTTTTGCTTTATCATTTATTTGTCTTAATTATTGCTACTTAATGACAGTGAGATGTCGATGAATTTTTGTGAAGTTCAGTATCTGATACAACGTTTGAGATTGAGTGGATTTGACAATACCATATGTAATGGTTGAGAAATTGAACTCTTGATCCGGTTTTTGAAGCTACTTAGGCCAAGTCGATAGATTTTCGATTCTAGAGAAGCTCGTGAAGCTTGAAACAGAATTCTGACGAGAATCGAACTCACGTCTTTAAAGAAAATACGAACTTAAATATTTCAGATTTGTTCGAAAGCCACTAGGCTACAAATGCATTACTATTGCAATGACAGATTGGTCTACACATGGTTCATTACATTGGGATAAGCCAGAAGTTTTTTTTTGATTAATCAGAACTGTTTAAGGTGGTTTTAGGATTTTTCTTAAAAAATTATAGCAAATTAAATAGTGTTCGTTACTCCTCTACATCAATAACCCAGATTATCCTCAATCTAAAATTATTATAACAGAAAACTGCATTTAAATTCATCTGCATACCTCCAGCACATCAAATAAACCAACTATAACGTCTTAATGGTTCTCCGAATAATTTTAATTCAACCAGTTCCAATGATTTTTCTTAAGAAAATCAATAAATTGTGCATTAAACTTTATGTAAACTAAACCATCAATAAAATAGCTTAAAAATAAGTTCATTGTAACAAAGTAAATCCAATGTCGAGGCTTCACTGTACTTATAAAGATTTCAAGTTCAACGAAAGTACAATAAGTACGATTGTTTTAAAAGTAGACGTGAAATAATACGCAAATTAATAATTCGTAGATGATCTACATTTGATAACATGCTTCATTAAACTTGCGAGTTATTGCTCGCTTCCTCAGTTTTGATTCAATTTGCATGCACTTGGTGATGAGTCTACGCAATTTTAGCGCTGTTTTGTGAAATATGTGGTTAGATGTGTTGGTGATTTTGGCAAGTTGGAGATGGTCAGTTGATGTTTTAGTTGAGATAATGGATAGTTTTGAATAAGCTTGATATTATAGTATATCTATAAGTAATTCTCTGTTTTAAAATCACGCATAATTTCACTACTCAATTTTAAAATAGTTCAAATTAAAAACAATGAATTGTTAAACGTTCTACTTAAATCGTGTGTCTTGCTGAAATGAATTCGTACGTGGAAAAATTATGAATTCTTAATTAGGAACATGCTGCAGGAAGATTCAAGTGATTTTGTTTGTTCTCTAAAGAACCTTCATAAATGTTCATATTTCCTACATAAGGCGTCGAGATGCCACATGCTTTGATGACATTTTTGTCTGAACTGAACGCAGAAATTTCAAATCCATCTTTGTTTTTTGGTTTTTGGGAGAACTTTGATTTTTTTTATTCGTAACAAGTGGAAAAACACGTGATGGTTGGCAATAAACTTTGTATTTACTCTTCTTTATGATCTTTATTGTGATAAGTGTATCTGGTTTGGGTTCATTGATAAATGACATCCAACAAGAGATTTAATTAAAATCTCGATTTTTTATATAGAAGTGTGATCAGCAGTGTAGCTAGGCATTGCTTGCTGTACTTTTTATAGTCAATTAAAATTTTCGGTATCTTTTTGTAAAGGATTTTGGTCTTTTTTTTGAGATTCTCAAAGCTAATCTTTAAGTTGCTTCTATCTTGCTGCATTGCTCTTGAGTATCACACAATCACTCTCCTTACCTAGGAGACACCATTTATAAATAACCCCCTTGCATATCGACACTTTACAACTTTTAGATTAAACAATAATACATACAAGTATACAGAAAAACATGTCAATAAAGTGTCATGTTTTACTGCCTTTTACAACATCATCGAGTGATAAAAAACAATGCACTTGAAATTTTTTTAAAAGCCTCAAGGATGTGATAACTGATAATGGATTTTATTAAGTTTATCTTCTGAATCTGGAACGTTTTTTTAGGGGTTAAGTCTTGTGTTTGCTAGTGAGCATCTCAAATCTTTTCATATTGCAAAACTATTGGCAATATCCTTGGAAAGTGCAAAATTTGGAGCCATGAAGATTACTAAACATTCTGAACATTTCAGTTTTGATTTGATTTATCTCATTTAACAAGTCATTGTAAAAACTTATTTCATACCATAAAACTATAGATCAAGGCGTGGAAACTGGGAAAATATTGATATTGTCCTATATTATCGCGAAATATCCCAAAATATCTCTTTTATTTCCGGTTATCCCAGATATTTTCATACTTTCCAAATCCTACAAAAGATAGGACTTTATTGAAACATTTTCAATGCAAACATCCTTAGTTGTATGCAGTATCAATTCAGAGGTTCCTAATTCTTAATTTTGAAAATCATGTTTGAGAAGAAGCGTAGCTAGGACGCGGGTTAGGGTCGGTGATTCTGAAACCCCCATTTTGGGAAAATTTCTCCAATTTGATAGCGCTAGTTTGAGAAAAATAACTGGATACGCCCCTTTGTTTGAGGCAACCTTAAAGAAATTTACCAAATTTAATCAAAAATTAATTTGCTGTTGAAATTTCGAGTCAATTAATAAATTTAAAAAGTCAAATTACACACAACAATTACAAACACTATTTCTTTATGAAGGTCACTAAACTATGTGTACGTGCAGATCGCATATTAAAATGCATACAAAAGAAACCGGCACATGCTGTACAAAAATGAAAACAAAAGCAAACAAACATCGGCGCTTTATATAATGTAAGGAATTGATTGGTTTGAAAAAGAAGAAGATTAAAGCTTGTTTTCTGCATGTTGAGTATACAAAGTCAGCTGATGATGTTATGACGAAGATTATTTTTGTTAAATTTTACGTATTGACATGAAGAGAATACGGAAGTTCAATTGCGATACCAGAAAAACATTTTTCATATTATTATTGACAATGACCTTTCTGTAAATATTTTTAAAAATATTATCATCATCATAATTTTGACAGTGGCCTTGTTGGATAAATAACTGTGATTTAAACAATTAGAATTCCAATAAATTTTTAATGTTGATGATTGGTTCTTTTATGTTGATTATCACGATTGAATTTTTTAAATCGGAAGACTGACTTTTTACAAGAATTGAGCTCTAAAAGATTCGCTTTTAACAAAAAAGCCAGTTTTTGACAAATATATCTTTCATTATTCACAGTCCTATAATGTATTCTTTTTGTTTTTTAATGAAATCATTCAAGAAAGTCCCCACTTGTACGCATTCAAGTTAAATTCAAGTGGTGTAATTTTTTCTGCTGTTCAGGGAATCCCATGAATCACTTTAAAGAAAGAATCGCTTAGAAAGAATGCTTAACTTCGGGGTCGTTCACTTATGACGTTTATCAAAAAGTGAGATTTTTTGCTTTTATTACTTCTATTTTTGGGCAAAAGTAGTTCGGGAATCGTTTTTTTTTTTGTAAACCTTTTGATCTTTAGCTTGCTTTTAAGCTTTTACTCTACCGATCAGACTATTTAGATAGGATTTTATATTATTCTGTAACGTCCTTATTCTAGCTCATAGCGAGGTTGCTAGCTAGTATTTCTTAAATATTGGTCTGCGGAGCTATAGTGTTTCGTAGAAAAATCCTAGATGCTCCATGAAAAGATTGACGGAACAGTAATGTAAGGGTATTAATAGGGAAGGAACATCGTTAAAAGATATTCACCTAGGCTTTAGTCAGCTTTGGAGTCAGCCTCCAATAGCTCATCCTATCTAAACCATAAAACTGCAAAAATTAAATTTAATCTGCATAAATCTAAGATTCACCTACTTCCTCCTAAATGATAGTCACCGTAAATGCTTTATTAATAGAAAATGTTTCAAGAGGTGGTTCCAGTAACTCTAGAGGACGAACAGCACTAAAAAAGTTCAAGTAAGTTGAATTCTTAGAAACCTATTGATAAGTTTCTATGCCATGTGCTTATCAATCAAACAACTATTGTGAAAACTTTATAATTAATGCTAAAATTAAACTGTAATTTTTTGTAGCTTTAACTTTATCTTTATTAAGTTAACAGCTTATGGAAACAAGCTTTAAGGTCTTTAGGGTTCAAAAATTAAATGACTATATTACATAAGATAGAACAACAAAGGAGCGAAGATCAAAATTGTAAAATACTTAATAAGTGAGCTAATTCTAAAGTTTTAAACATTAAATGAATTTTTCATCAATTTTCATATGAATAATTTTAACTGTAAATGACTTTTTACTTGATTTTTCGTTCCTTTCTAAAATGTAAGAACTTCTGTTGGAGAATCCATTAAAATCTGAAGATATTGTCCTTGAGTAAGCTCCCATATTGTGAAAAATAATCCAGTCATCAACATCTAATTCTGGAAACTCAATATCTGAATAAATTTTGTCAAGTGAGCTGCATGTACAGCCCCAAATTGTTGACAACTTTTTCTCTGAATGATTCTCTAAATTTGATTTTTTGATGACTGAATAATTTAATTTGTCTTTGTCTGTGTAGTAGCAGAATGATAAGTATGTGCTCTCGTTTATAAAATAATAAATTTGTCCATCTTCTGACTTCTTCTTTAAAACTATTTGTGCTGCAATTGAGAATGCTGTGTCTACAAAATATCGTCCAGGTTCTGAGATGATTTCAATATCTTCGGATGGAAAATTTCTATCAAGTGCTGAATTGATTGTCGTTGCAATATTGTCGAAAAGTTCTGTATTGCCGCCCATAAATCCACCTCCTATATCCACAAAATTAAGTTTCATATCCAAAGTCTCAGCAAAGTTGAATAATTCTCGAACAGCATCTAAAGCATTTCCAAAAACTTTATAATCTGTTGTAGCTGTGCCAACATGAAATGAGATTCCAATCAGATTCATTTGCATGTCTTTACAGAGTTGAATTAGGTTTGGTGCTTCTGTTACTGGATTGCAACCGAATTTCGGTCCTAAATTCACAAAAGATGATTTAGCATCAAATCTAATTCTCAACACAACTTTTGCATTTGGATGTAATTTTTTGATCTTTTGAAGTTCCTCTGGACAGTCAAATGTCATTTTCTGAATTCCTTTATCTACTGCCATCTTCAAATGTGACACTTGCTTTGCTGTTTGTGCATAAATTATTCTTTCTGGATCAACTCCTAAATCTAACATTTGATTAAATTCTTTCTTTGATGCACAATCAAATCCAGCACCTAAGTTCCTTAAAAGTCTCAACACTCGTTCGTCATCATTGCACTTGACTGCATAATAAGGAACAACTCTTGGAATTTTCTCCTTCCAAATTTCGTATTTATGTTTTACATTCTCAATATTAAGGATATAGAATGGATCATCAACTCCTTTTGCTGAGTTCTGATCGATTATTTTACTGGCTGCACTTACTATGTCCATTATCAAAGAAAGCTTGATTAAAACTGATTGACATTTCACTGATTGAAGCGAGTATATAAAGCAAAACTCTATCGTAGCATCTATGAATTGAAAGAAAAGCTTTAAAGCTTTAGCGATGGTGTAATTCGTCTTTACGTCAACAATATGAAATAAGCTTACCTCACATTGTTCAACAAGTTCGTTGAAATTCATCGAAAAGCACAATGCAATCGAAGAAAAGTTACTCGCAGCATGAAAGAAACAGTTTTTCAAAGAATTTTGACGAAGTTGGTGCGCCGTTAATAAATCAGAACTTACAAAAATCCCAAAAGAATGATATCATTTCAATAGAACTTTTCATGCAATTTATTTTGAATAAAAACAATTGTCTCAATTTATGCAAAGAATCATTTAAACGTCGATTCATTTTCTCTACCTACACATTTTATTTCCAGCATGAGATGACGTGAAGCATTGTGAGAGAATCCCGTACGTCATGAAATTGGCTTAATGCTTGTGTTTTTTGAGAATGTGAGGTTACGTATCATTATTTTTGCTTACAATATTTTAAAAATTTGGCCTTTTTGACCTTAACTAGACACAACTTTACACCAGCAAGTACAGAGACTCTGAAAATAAATTAAATATATAAATAAATGTTGAAAAATTACCATCCACATTATCTTTTACCCCATTCTCGAATCCAGCCTTAACAATCAGCTGATCATCAAAAAATTCTCGCTCAACAATAAATGTCTTTTCACCAATTTGCTTCTCCAGAAGTTTATTTCCATGAATTTCGAAAATATTTAATACCTTCCTGCCATCAGATGTTGTGACATTTTTGCCTTGACCAGCTTTAAATGTTTGACTTGTCTTGTAAAACACAATAATTGTGTTCAATGAATATTCATCGCCACTCTTCGTTAACTGAGTGATGGTTGAGAATGCACCAGCAATCTTTCTGAGAATTCTGTTCATGCCCATTTCCATCATCATTTCGTTGAAATTTATCACTGTCCACTTTGTACTTTTTATTCAAGAATTTGTCCATTATTGTTTGATTCGACTTTAACGACTTACTGGATTAGACTGTTGATTTTGGCAATATATGAACAATGAATAGCCCAATTCATGTGATAGATTGTGGTATCAAAGTTTTATTACGTCTATTATATCACGAGATATTTTAAGATTAAATTAGAACGATTAATAATGAAACTTCAGATCGGGGGGATTAGGAACACTAAAGTCTGATTCTAAATCTTCTTTTAGTAGTCAAGTGCCTTGCTGGTCGAAAAGGTAAAGCGCTTGACTCAAATTTGGAATGGTAACTCGAAGATCGACGGTTCGAATCCAGCCATTCTCAAATTTGTTCTTTTTCAACTGCTTAATTTACGAGATCAATCCATAATTGAGCATTTGGGCAACGTTGGATTAAGGAACATATCAGGAACTTGAAGTATAATGGTAGAAATAGGAACGAGAGCTGCAAGATTACCTTATAATGGAATATTGTCAGAATGAACCTGAACGTGGACAAATAAATGATAAAAATTCTTTACTATAGATTTCAAAAACGGCTTCAGCCTTAATAGCATCAACATTTTCTGCAATCTTATATTTATCATACCTCATGACTCAATACTCAAATACCGGGTTTTGTTTATCAACACATAAGAGCTTCACATGTGATTTCGTTCAAGCACAAGCAAATTACTCAGATTTTTGAAATATCGAGAGAGTCGCAGAGAATAAAACCACAACGAAATGAGAAAATAAAGCTTAGTAAATTTGTGGTCTTCGTAGGCGACACAGCTGATTTTTTTTAATTAAATTAAATTCCATTCTAGTTATCATGTTGCTGTTTATCACTTTAACAGCAGTTTTAGTTTATGTTATCTACAAGTGGTCAACGTCCACTTATGACTTCTTTGAAAGGCAAGGTATTCCATATCGAAAGCCGTTACCACTTTTTGGTACCAATATTAACATGCTGTTGAAGAAGAAGCCATTCATTGATGTTCTTAAGGAATGGTATAATGAGTTTGAGAATGAGAAGTAAGTGGACTTTTTGATTTTTTTTTGGACATTCATTAACATAAATTGCAGACTTTCAGGACTTTTTGAATTCCGTCGACCAGTCGTTCTTATTAGAGATCCTCAAATAATCAAGCAACTTACCATTAAAGATTTCGATCACTTTATGGATCATCGAGTGTTAATTACTGAAGACATCGATCCATTGTTTGGCAAGAATTTAGTTTCTCTCACTGGCGACAAATGGAAAGACATGAGAGCTACTTTATCTCCTGCATTTACTGGTGAGTAATATTTCCAAAACAAAATGTGAATGACCTACGTCAATGTCGATTAAGTCATGCTGAATATTTCTTATCTTATCTATTCAATAACAATAATCAGGTAGTAAAATGCGTCAAATGTTTGATTTTGTCAGTACCGTGGCAATTGAAAGTGCTGAAATTCTTAAAATTGATATTGAAAGTGGAAAGGAGAATAATTTTGAGTTTAAAGATTTTGCATCAAAATTCACATGTGACAACATTGCAAGCTGTGCTTTTGGAATTGAAGTCAATTCCTTTAAAAATCCAACAAATGATTTCTTAAGAATTGCAAAAAAAGTCATGAACTTTTCAAGTCCATTGATGGGCTTAAAGCTTGTTGGATATTTCACATCTCCAAAACTGATGAAATCTTTGGGAATAAGCTTGTTAGACAAAGAAAGTTGTGATTACTTTCAAAATGCTTTAATCGATACCATGAGAACGAGAGAGAAGTTAGGAATCATTCGTAATGACATGATCAACTTGATGCTTGAAGCTAAGAAAGGAAAGCTTGTTCACAATATTAATGAAGAATCAAGTGCTGATGGATTCGCTACAGTTGAAGAATCTCATGTTGGGAAATCAAAAGTTAATAGAAAATGGGAAGAATTGGATTTAGCAGCTCAGTGCTTTATATTCTTCTTGGCTGGATTTGATACTGTAAGTTCAAATTTCTAACTCTATAAACTTCTTAAAATCAAGTTTGTTATTTTTTTAAGGTTGCTCAAACTATGAGCTTCGTAGCTTATGAACTAGCTTGCAATCCAGATATCCAACAAAGATTATACGAAGAAATTCTCCAAACAGTCAATGATATTGATAATCAGAAAATCAACTATGAACAACTTCAATCCATGAAGTACCTTGATCAAGTGATCTCAGAAACTCTTCGAAAATGGCCAGCAGCTCCAATGACTGATCGTTTATGCACAAAAGATTTTGACTTGAAATATGACAACAAAGTGATGAAATTTGAGAAAGATGTGAACAGTATTATGATTCCAATATGGATGTTGCATAGGTGTGTCATGGCTTTCAAGTTTAGACTTCGTTTGATTAATTCAATATTTTTTCCAGAAATCCAAAATACTTCCCAAATCCAGACAAGTTTGATCCTGAAAGATTCAATGATGAGAATAAGCACAAAATTCAAGATTTCACTTATTTGCCATTTGGTGCTGGTCCAAGGTGATGTTTTGTGTTATTTCATTTGTTTTCAAACTTAACTTAATGTATTGATCATTTCAGAAACTGCATTGGAAGCAGATTTGCATTGATGGAAGTTAAAACAATTTTCTTCTACTTACTGTTAAACTTTAGCATTGAAGTCACCGAGAAAACTCAGATTCCATTAAAGTTTGAAAACCTTCCGTTCCAAATGAAACCAGAAAAGGGAATTTGGGTTGAATTAAGACCACGTGTCTAGTGTTAATAAAATTCTGTTAAAAGTTCATAAAAATAAATGTGATTGTTGAGTTTAAATTTAAAACATTTGGTATAGAACAATTGAAAAAAAGACTTAATTATTGAGAATGCAGATTCCTTTGAGTCAAGAACAGGTTATTATCATCAAAATACAAACAAAACATGCAAGATGAGTTTGCAAAAAATATGACCATAAAAAAACATTCTTGATATGAAATAAATAAAAACAAAATTCACATGCTTTATCATTCAGTTTCTCTTTTGAGAATCATTCTCTCCGGCAAAATTGTTTGATTGCTCAACAGCTGACTTATCTTTGCACTTGAACGCTCCACATGTGATAGCAAAATGTCAAGAGTTAATTTTTTTGAGAATTCTCTCTGGAATCAAAAATATTTCTGACAATGAGTGAGAACGACTTCTCAGTAAACATTCAGCCTTTATCGCAATCGCTACAGTTTTATACTCAATTCTTAATCAAAATAAATTGTTAAGATGACCGGAATTTTGTTGTTCCTTTTAATAGTTGTTCTCGTGTATTTATTTTACAAGTGGTCAACATCAACTTATGATTTCTTTCGAAAACAAGGAATTCCTTTCCGGAAGCCAGTTCCTCTTCTAGGATCAAATGCTAATATGTTTATCAGAAGAAAGCCTTTTCATGAAATAATTGACGAATGGTTTCATGAGTTTGAGAATGAGAAGTAAGTTGTTTGATGACTAATGTTAATGACTTTGACCTTTAGATTGAAGCTATTAAGAACTTAATACTAATGCAAGATTTTTAAGAGCTGAATTCAAATAAACAATGTGATCTGAATCTTCCAGAGTTTCCGGGCTATTTGAATTCCGTCGACCAGTTGTTCTTATCAGAGATCCTCAAATAATCAAGCAACTTACAGTTAAAGATTTCGATCATTTTATGGACCACCGTGTGTTGATTACTGAGGACATCGATCCATTGTTTGGCAAGAATCTTGTATCACTCAGTGGTCAGAAATGGAAAGACATGCGAGCTACTTTATCACCTGCATTTACTGGTGAGAAATGTTCATATTAATGTGAATGACCATTAACAACTCACTTGCCTTATCTCTCCTTATCTAATCTTCTTAATGAACATCCACTTTAAAAATTTAGGCAGCAAGATGCGTCAAATGTTCGACTTTGTAAGCACTGTGGCAATCCAAACATCTGAAACACTCAAAAAAGACATCCAAAATGGAAGTGAAAATAATTTTGAATTCAAAGATTTTGCATCTAAATTTACATGCGATAATATTGCAAGCTGTGCTTTTGGAATTGAAGTTAATTCTTTTAAGAATCCAACAAATGATTTTTATAGAATCGCAAAGAAAGTCACGAATTTTGCTAGTCTTAAAGTTGGTCTTAAATTTGCTGGCTATCTTGCATTTCCTGGTCTGATGAAGGCATTAAAAATAAAATTGTTGGATAAAGAAAGCTGTGACTTTTTTAAGGAAGCAATTATTGAGACAATGCGAACTAGAGAAAAGTTGGGAATTGTTCGTAAGGACATGATCAACTTGATGCTTGAAGCAAAGAAAGGAAAACTTGTTCACAACAACAACAATGAAGATTCAAGCATTGATGGATTCGCTACAGTTGAAGAATCTCATGTTGGGCAGTCACAAGTGACTAGAAAATGGGATGAAATGGATTTGGCTGCTCAATGCTTTATTTTCTTTTTGGCTGGTTTTGATACTGTGAGTTCCAATTTTTTCAATATCTGAAGTTTTCAAAAACTTCCATAATTAATTTAGGTCGCTCAAACTATGAGCTTTGTAGCTTATGAGCTTGCTTGCAATCCAGACATCCAACAAAGATTATACGAAGAAATTCTCCAAACAGTCAATGAGATCGATAATCAGAAAATCAACTATGAACAACTTCAATCCATGAAGTACCTTGATCAAGTGATCTCAGAAACTCTTCGAAAATGGCCAGCAGCACCGATTACAGATCGTCTGTGTACAAAAGATTTTGAATTGAAATATGACAACAAAGCGATAAAGTTTGAAAAGGATGTGAACACTTTCTTAATTCCAATGTGGATGTTCCATAGGTTTGTAGTAAATTAAATAATTTTTGATATCTTTTGGTATAATTTAATTCTTTAACTTTACAGAAGTCCAAAATACTTCCCAAATCCAGAAAAGTTTGATCCTGAAAGATTCAATGATGAGAATAAGCACAAAATTCAAGACTTCACTTACTTGCCATTTGGTGCTGGGCCAAGGTGATGTTTTGTGTTATTTCATTAGTTTTCAAACATAATTTTAATGTATTGATCATTTCAGAAACTGCATTGGAAGCAGATTTGCATTGATGGAAGTTAAAACAATTTTCGTTTATTTACTGTTGAACTTCAGCATTGAAGTTACCGAGAAGACTCAGATTCCATTAAAGTTTGAAAACCTTCCGTTCCAAATGAGACCAGAAAAGGGAATTTGGGTTGGATTAAAACCCAGAACTTAATACAATAAATAATCTGAAAGAAATTGATTGATTTTTTTCTAATGTAAATTTCATTATTATTGGTGAATGAACCTTATAAACTCAATAAACAGTAAATGTCAAACAGCTGACTTATCTCTGAACTTGAAAACTTTACATGTGATTTATTCAATCAAATAAATAAATTGACTGAGAATTTTCGTTTTTAGAATTTGAGAATTAAAATAAAATTCAGAGAGCGAATGCGTGTGCAGTAAACATTCAGTCGTTGAAGACACAACAAACATTTTTATTTTGCTCGTTGAATAAATTGTTAAGAAGATGACTGGAGTTTTGTTGTTTTTGTTGGCTGTGCTTGTAGTTTTCATCTTCAAATGGTCCACATCAACATTTGATTTCTTTCGGAAACAAGGAATTCCTTACAGAAAGCCAGTTCCATTTTTTGGAACATATTTGAATGTATTTATGAAGTTAAAACCTTTTAATGAAATTCTTCATGATTGGTTTTACGAATTTGAGAATGAAAAGTAAGTAAGCTTAGGGGTCGTTCATTTATGAAAAGAACAATGGATTTCCAGGAATTTCTATTGTTCTTTTCTTGCTGAACCCCCTCCCCCCGGACAACATATTAAGTTACGCAAAAAACTTTTCACCCCCTCCCCCCTTGTTACAATATGTTACAACTCATCCCCCCCCCCCCCCCCCCCCCTTGAACTTCATAATTTATTTAAAGCCCCCCCGCCCCCTAAAATGCGAACGTAATAAGTGAACGGCCCCTTATCAAATATTTAGAAAACTGACTGTTCCTGAATATTAAAAGCATTTGAATTGCAAAGAATCGAAATAGCAAAGTTATCATCTTCAGATCATATTTAAGTTGATGTCAATTAACCTTTAGTTCCCAATTAGTGTTTAGTGTTGGTTAAACATTATCTAAAACTTCCTATAGAATCTCTGGACTTTTTGAGTTCCGTCGACCAATTGTTCTCATCAAAGATCCTCAAATTATCAAGCAATTGACTGTCAAAGAATTTGATCACTTTACGGATCATCGAGTTGTAATTACCGAAAATATGGATCCATTATTTGGGAAGGCATTGCTTAATCTAAGAGGTCAGAAATGGAAAGATATGCGATCTACATTGTCTCCAGCATTCACAGGTCTGTTCTTTTTTGAAATTTAGACTATTCATTCCTTTCTTTGACTAATTAGGCAGCAAGATGCGTCAAATGTTTGACTTCATGAGTACAGTAGCAATTCAAACTTCTGAGACTCTCAAAAAAGACATTCAAAATGGAAAGGAAAATATTCTTGAATTTAAAGACTTTGCGTCAAAATTCACTTGTGATAACATTGCAAGCTGTGCTTTTGGCATTGAAGTTAATTCCTTTAAGGATCCAACAAATGATTTTTTCCAAATTGCAAAGAAAATTATGAATTTTGGCAATATTGCAACAGCACTTAAAATGCTAGGATATTTTATATGTCCGACGCTAATGAGTGGTTTGGGAATAAAACTGCTTGACAAGAAAAGTTGTGACTTCTTTCAAATTGCTCTCATTGAAACGATGAGAAACAGGGAAAGGCTAGGAATTGTTCGCAATGACATGATCAACTTGATGCTTGAAGCCAAGAAAGGAAAGCTTGTCCACAATAATAATGAAGATTCAAGTGCTGATGGATTCGCTACAGTTGAAGAATCTCATGTTGGGAAATCAAAAGTTAATAGAAAATGGGAAGAATTGGATTTAGCAGCTCAATGCTTTATATTCTTTATAGCTGGATTCGACCCGGTTAGTATAAATATTTACTAGATATTGTAAGAATCAAGAGATTTAATTTAAACTTAGGTTTCTCAAACAATGAGTTTAATGGCTTATGAGCTTGCTTGCAATCCAGACATCCAACAGGGATTATACGAAGAAATTCTCCAAACAAGGAATGAGATCGATAATCAGAAAATCAACTATGAACAGCTACAATCAATGAAGTATCTTGATCAGGTCGTATCAGAAGTGCTAAGAAAATGGCCATCTGCAGCAATGACTGATCGTTTATGCACAAAAGATTTTGACTTAAAATATGACAACAAAGTGATGAAATTTGAGAAGGATATTAATATTTTTATGGTGCCAATATGGATGCTGCATAGGTTTGTTATGACTCGTAAGTTAAAGCTGCTTAAGATTCATGTATTGTTTTTCCAGAAATCCAAAATATTTCCCAAATCCAGAGAAATTTGATCCTGAAAGATTCAATGATGAGAATAAGCACAAAATTCAAGATTTTACTTATTTGCCATTTGGTGCTGGTCCAAGGTGAAGTTTTTAATGTCAGTTTTTGATGTAAACTTATTGGATTAATCATTTCAGAAACTGCATTGGAAGCAGATTTGCATTGATGGAAATTAAAACGATTTTCTATTATTTGCTATTGAACTTCAGCATTGAAGTCACCGAGAAGACAGAGATTCCATTAAGTTTTGATAAAATTCCATTTCAAATAAGACCAGCAAAAGGAATTTGGGTTGAATTAAAACCCAGAACTTAAAAATAATGACTCCAAATTGTTTTCTTTATCAAAAAAATGTCACATGCTGAAAAATACAGTTTGTTATTATTTCTGATGAGTCACAAATTATTTTATTGTTGTTGCTAAAACGCCGGTTAATAAATTTAATGTCAAGGTCACTTTAGTGTTGTTTTCATTCAATTTATTATCATTTGTAGGACTTATGAATTAAATTGAATGACGTAATTAGTAAATTAGAGTTCGATGACTTCTCACGCTCTTTTTGCAGACGGAAGGGGGGGGGGGGGGGACACAATAGATTCTGTTCTAATTTGATCGCAGTGCCTCCATCTTAAAAGGCTGGGTCCTATCCATTATTTACTTTTTTTTCAGGCTCGTTTTGCAGACTATAAGGGTGGGGGGGGGGGGGGGGGGGTATTACTTTTGAGACAATTCAAACAAAAAACAAATTGCAGGGGGGGGGGGGGGTAAAATTTTTATTTGTTACATAACAAGTGAACAGCCCCTTACTTATGGGGGATTCATTTCGTTCATTTTTGAATTAAAAATGTTTTTTTCAGACGTCATTTACGAACGATTCTTCAGATAATATTCAGCAAGCTTAAAATAAATATGTACAATTGAGTACATGTGAAATATTCGAGTGACATATTCAAATTCCAAAAAGTATATTTTATATCTTCTCATTAAGAAATGTCTATTTTAAGACTGACAGAATGTTCATACTTTTATCGTGTATTCCTCTTAATTTTTCGATATGGATATGATGAAATCATTTCTCTGTACACAATTCAATATTGCAGACATACAGGAAGTCAGTAAAATATATGATAATTCAAATTTTTAACTTATTTATTAACAGAATGACAAATTAGGCAAATAAATTCTACAATTTTGAGCTCCACAAAAACAAAATTTCTTATTAATCTCATCAATTAAATTTAAATCGACAGTCCCGTAGCTAAAAGTAAGTTCCTCATTCTCCTTAATGTTCCTTTTTGTAAAAATAGCAATTTTTGGAATAATCGAATCAACGCGAACGCTTAGAATCTCACAATTTGGATCACAACTGTGGTTGAGATACCTTCCAATATTTCCTTTAATTCTTGGATCTATGAAGGTTTGAATCTTATTGGAATTTGATTCTGATGAGATTTCGTTAAGACATAAAATATAATTAATTGCATTTTGTGATTTATCTCGTTTAATTGCTTCAGTTTTTGTTAGAATTTCTCCTGCATATTCACAGATGAATGTTCCTTCTAATAGCGTCTTTGTGGTAATTAATCCATAGCCTTTGGTATCGAAATTTTGTATCTTTAATCCATCAATTGGACCAAATTGAACTAATTTATTTAAACAGGATTTTGGACATTGACAATTATCATTGCATTCATAGATGATGTCCTTACACTTTCGATCATTCCTAAGCACTAATTGATTATTTCTTAATTCATAATTTTCACCATGGATGCAGCCTTCATTTCCACAACTATTTGTTTCACAGTAACAGAACTTAATTATACTAGATTGAAAATCATCCTCTAAATCTTTGTATTCCTTACCTCCATCACCAATTTGGAGGATATTTTCAATAATATACTCTAAATTATCATCAATGTGCTCATAATTATCAACTAGTTCATTCCTAATTTCTAGATTATTCATGATTTAGACTTTAACGGCTTATTGAAATTTAAAATTTAACAGCTTAAAATTTTGAACTTTGAAAGTTCAAAAACAAGGAACATGAAAATTTAAAAAAAAAATTAACGTCTTTTCAAGATAACGTGATAATGCATGCCTCAATTTACTCAATTTTGCTTAATTTCTTGCTTTCTATCCATAACTTCTCTGACACATCATCAGACAAATTGATCTTTGACTTCGTTTGTCGACAATTCATCACAATATACGAGTTGCTTGGATTCTTTTCTGTATCATTCTCATCATCTGTTGCACAGTGAATTATATTCTGAGCTCCTTGTTCAGCTGATCGCAAATAGAGTAAAATGACTGGTGAAAACACAATCCAATGATAAAACTTGATGGTGTAATCACGAAACAGTTCTGTGTAGCACAATCCAGGACAGCAAACATGAACATCAATTCCTTTCTTGTACAATTCCTTAGCAAAGTAAAAGTTCATCAACTTGCTATTTGCATAAAGCTGCTTTGTAGTGTAAGGTTCAACTAATTTCCCGAAAGTCTCAAAATTGATTGTTCCTTTTTCATGTAATTTCGACGAAACGATTACAATTCTTGCATTATTCTTCTTGATAAGATCCAGTAACAAGTTGATCATCAAGAAATGTCCTAAATGATTTGCTAATGTATGAACCTCAACATCCTCGCTAGTAACAAATGGTTCCTTCATAGACAGCCCAGCATTATTAATTATACAATCGAATTCAGGGAATTCTCGATTAACATCATGACAGAATGACTTGATAGAATCAAAGATTTCAAGATCCAGTGGCAATGCGGTTAAATTTGCATCTTTAACTTCCTCTTTAATACATTGGATTGCTTCATTTGCTTTAATTAAATCTCTGCATGCAAATACAACAGTAGCTTTACGTTTAGCTAAGGCTCTAGCTGTCTGATATCCTAATCCAGAATTAGCGCCAGTAATAATGAAGACTTTTCCTTTCAAACTTGACTTATTGTTCGCCCAACCTACGCAAATTAATGCAATTAATTTCACAGTTTTATTTATTATTTCAACGTCATCAACTCACCCCATGAATATTCTCGTTGTTTCCTTATAAGATAGATCACTCCAGCAGCTACAACAGGTAATGTAATTAAAAGATTCATTTGATGCAGCACAAACTATAAACTTTCGGTATTGTTATTATTGTTTTTGTAAATAATATGTGTAAAATGTGTGTAATAGTATTAGTGCGGGGTTGGTGAAAACTGAACTGAAAGGAACTATTTTACTGAACGTCAAACACTGAGAGAAAATATTTAAAATTTTATATAACGTAAAAAAGTCTTAATTGAGGTTATTAAAAAATTTCTGCGGGTGTAGACTATCGAGTAAGTTCCACAAAGATCGAAGAAAAGAAAAATCTATAAGAATTAATCATAGCCGCATTCAGCGAGTTAAATTAGTGTGATTTAAATTATTAATGTGTAGAGAACATAACAAAGAGTGAGTTGACACATAAATTGACTTATATCTTGTGAATTAAAGATAAATTAAGAAGAAAAAAAGAAAAATCTGTGAAAAATTTATCGTGAAGAATGGAAAATTCCCAAAAAGTTCGACATATTCCGATTTTCGTTGAGGGACGTGATGAGCCCATCATAAATAGAGATCATAATACTCAACAGAATAGTGCTAGTGCCAATTCGAATGCATCAGCGCAAAATTCTTCGAATTCGAATTCCTCCTCCGCTTTTGCGTCAGCTGAATCATCAGCAGGACCGTTTCAGTCATCTTCGTCGCATCAAACTCCATATTTTCAAGCTAATCAAAATCATAATTTTGGCAGGCCACCAATGAATTTCAGTGATATGGATGATATGGGTTTTGGGGATATGAATATGCCTCATCATGGATCGATTTTCGAACGTGCTAAAGAATTTCCAGTTCGTACTGACTTTCCAGACTTTTTCTCGAACGTACGATCAGCAAGTCCATCAAATCGTCGCAGTGAGTCACCAATTCAAAGTCAACAACCTAGAAAATCGCCATCAAGCGGTGCTACTTCAAATGTACATAATTTGAGGCAATCTGGATCATCGGAACGTCCAATTCCAATGCAACATGATAATGTGAAAAGATCTTCGACTCCACAGCGACAACAAACACCACCAAAACAACCTCCTCCTCCACAACAGCCAGTACCAGTTCCACAACAAGTTCCTGTAATTCCACAGGAGCAGCCACAACCAACAGAAGAACAAAGAGCAACTGCTGCAAAGCAGAAAGCACTTGAAGATTCAATTACCAAAATTCAAAAGATCCAACAATCAGTTTTAGATCTCATGGGACGTGTCGAGCAATACAATGGAGCTGATCGTAAAGAATATCTCTTTCTGGATGAGATGTTGACACAGAATTTATTAAAACTTGATAATATCGATGCCGAAGGAAAAGATAATATCAAAAATGCCAGACGTGAAGCAATAAAATGCATTAATAGCCTTATTTCACTCCTAGAAGCAAAGAATGAGGAAGCGACGTATAATAGGAATAATAATAATGGTGTAGAAAAGAGTAAAAGCAATGAAAATGCAACTCATCAAGAGGCTAGTGTAGATCAAAATAATATGGAACAGACCCAACCAACACAGGAATTGAATGGAACGTCAAAAAATTCATCATATGACAATGTACAGCAACAAACAAGTTCAGATGTGCCAGAAAAATCAGCTGAAGCAAGTTTAGAAGAGAAAATTGCAGAGGCAATGGTTAAACAGGATAATGGTCAGAAGCAGACATAGATTAATAGACAAAAAGAATTATTAGAGAGTGAAACACAGAAATGCCTACTCAAAAAAAAGTAATAATAATAATAATTGTTTCAGTTCCTTCTGAACACTTCAACTCGTTAAATGCTTTTGCACATTTCTCTGCATTAATTATGACGTCATAATTTGTTGTAGGTCGTGGACACTTTAAGCTTGTAATATTGAGGAATGTTCAAATTTATTTGTCATTGCCTGAGTTGTGTGACAAGAAAAGAAAGAAAGGTTGTAAACTATATAAAAAAGGCATATTTGGATTGACTAAGTGCGACAAATTCATTGAACTTTCATCAATAATTATATTTTTTTAAACACTCAATATCAGTGTAGTGCTTATCCTAGTTATTTTTTCTTTCACTTTACTGTACTATATTAGTTTAATAGATCCGCAATTAAGTAACTACACTAATAGGCAGTCAATGTTAATACAAGAAAAGGTGCAGAAAATAAGCTATAGATGAAATTAATTCGCTAAATTATGTTTTTTGGGCTTTGTTCACTTACGATGTCTACCAGAGGGTAGATTTGGAGATTAAGGATTGCTTATAATCCTTTAAAATTGTAAGGAACGTTTGGTACCAAATAACAATATCTTTTATCAGACATATTCATTTGTTCCTAAATTCACAACAAATAAGTTCATAAGACATCATTAGTGAACAACTCCCAGAAAAAGTCTCTATTTTGAAATGAAGCTTACTTCCGAATACATCATTGAATAACTTTCTTTATACAGTCAACTAACCACATCTTTTTTAATACCGCTCCTATTATAGTTTTTTAAATATTAATAAAAAACATTTTCTCAATTTTTTTATTAGTAAATCAATTTTTCATTTTTGAAGATCTCAAGAATCTGACTACAAAAATCTTTAATTTTGCTACTCTTCTGATTTCTTCTTTGTAATATTTAAAAACTCTTTAATAAATTAACTAATGATCTTGTATTTCTAATGTCTTCTGATTATAAATAATGTTGTTAATCCTTGTAAATTATAACAGTACGAAATGGAATGCATAAAAAGTTTTAAATTTTAATTTTAAATAACTAAGAAATTTGAATTTTTGGAATAGGATTTCAAGATATGGACCTCATTGCTTGTTATAGAGATAATCAGAATTGTAAGAATCAAATAACAATGAGCAGTTCATCCCTTAATCCTGAATTAAAAATGGAATTATATTATTGAAATTGGAGAATTTACAATTCCACTTAACAGCAGTGCTTTAATATTATGAATAAAACTTTAAGTCTGGAACTTGTATTGTAGAAATTTAATATATTTTTGAAAATTGTAGAATTTTTAGTGCTCAATCGGCCTATTTAGTAAACATAAGAAATTGTAAATTTAGAATTTTTCCTCATAAAATTATATAAAATTAATCTATTTTCATAAAATTTTAACAAAGTTATAACGAATTTAAAAATCAATTTAGTTCGATTGTATCAAAAATCAGGGATTTGCACTTTTAATTTAAAACAAATCGTTTTAAATTTTTGAAAATGTCATTGGAAAGTTTTCGTAGATTTTATATGGTTTTCGAAAACATTGTATTTTTCACAAATAGTTAAAAGTTTTTGAACAGAATTTGTATGGATTTTAATAACATTCGAACTACTTTCACAAACATATGAAAGATTTTTGTTAAAATTTAGAGGGTTTAGACAGAATTGTATGGTTTTGGCTATTACGCTCAAATTGACTAAACGAATTTCCTTATAAATCCTATGATTCATACAATTTCATGCCAACTATAATTTCATTTTTGAAATTTTTAATTACTCGGTAGTATAGTGGTGAGTATCAACATATGTTGATTAAGATAAAAATTCTCACAATTGCAGCTAATACTGAAATTCTCCAATTTCAATTATTCAATCCCTCGTCCATTGAGAAAAAAAAAACTTAAATGAAGAAAGAAAAATTACAATAAATAATTTAACTGTATTAAGACTCACAATAAATCATAATTGTTTCATTTAAAACCTCTCGACGATTAAGTCCACAGCATTTGGTTCCATCAGCATGCCTGAGGGATTTTTTTCTAAACATCTGAGCACTGCTGACCCGAGAATGTCGTCAAGAAGGATGTAGATAATGCTGAAAAAAAAGAATGAATAAATATTTAGAGTTTTTGAAGGCAGACTAGCAATAACCATGAGAAGTAAACAAAGCAGCATGCAAATCCAATTTATCACAAAAATAATATCTTGATAATTAATTTTTAGCACATAATAACTTACTTTTCATCCGCAACAAATCGCCAGAGATTCAATTGTAGATAATGTGCATCGACTTGTATCTGCTGCAGTCCATATTTGCTGAACGTTCTCAATCTCACGCATTCTAATAAAGTTTTTAAGCTGATTCTTATGATTCCACTCATGATTGAGACTTTTGAGAAGTCAACAGATGAATTAAAAATATCGACACGTTCTGAAAACAATCGATGCACTAAACTATTGTCAGCTTGTGAAGATGTAAAGTTAGATAAGGTTGATCGATATTGTGATTTTCCTTGCATTGACATACTAAAATGAGTTTTTCTACTCGAGTCACTGCTTGTTGTCGTATTAAGTTGTCCAGACTCAAAAAGCTCTTCCAAAGTTCCGTCAATGTTTGTCAGCTCGTCAACAACTCGCTTCATTACAGCACGAACAGATCGAGGTTCTAAACAATTTATCCAGTCACGAGTTTCGACACTTTTACGGAGCATTTGTGAGACATTCATGCCTTGAACTCGAACATATGCATCGAGTAATGTTTTTGCAGATTCCAGTATTTCTGAGTTTAGTTCTGTTTCGTGAGTCAAAACTGAGGAATTTTCAGAATCAATTTCATAAAGTTCATCGACGAGATTCAAGAGCGATCGAATGCCGCCTTTTTCGAGCTTTAAACAAAGTTTTGAGAGCACTAACAAGAGATTAGCCGGACATGATGAGTTTATATCCGAAAATGATGTCACAACAGTCGAAATATGACGCAAGAAAGCAACTAGAAGATTCTCGCGAATTCCTTCAATGCACGAAATGCCTTTATGGTCCATTTTTATATTAAAAGACCATTCTGGATTAAGGAAAACTAAAAGATCTTGCAGAACACCCTTAACCTTCTCAATTGTGTTAACATAAAGCGTATCAATCAATTCCGTCAAGCTCCCATCATTCTTCGATGTCACTAAAGTCAATCTAATTGAACTTAAATTATCGTTAAATGAATCTTTTAAAATTTTATAATGTGTCTGACATAGCTGCTGTACGGAGTGAATAATCAAGTCAATTCCTGTACGCGAAATTTCGATTCCTCTTCCGAGATTTTTCATTGCACATAAACGTCGATGAAGACGATCTAGAGCACGTAATAATATTTGTGTATCACCCGTCTCACTCTCGACTCTTTCTTGGACCAAATTCAAATATGCAGTCATATTTTTGTTTACAAACTCATTGAGATTCGATCGTGCTAATTCTTGGAAACTGTCGTCTTCGCACTCAAAATGTTTCGTCACAAACATTTCGTAAAATGAGCTTGTGACTAGCGTCAAGTCATTTAAAAATCCCTCAATTCCAATATCTACAAAATCGATCATATCACGCTCAGTTTGGTCACTAAGAAGAATTAGTTCGTCATGTAATCTTTGTGTAGCGAATTGCAGCATTTCTTTTGAAAGATTTGATGGACTTTCGCCGAGTTGAAGAAGTAGATCTCCAGTTTCTGTGAGGTGGATTGTCTTTTTATCAGCTCTTTGGAAGTCTTCTTTGAGAATTGTCTGTAAGTTTGACATGATTACTGCACAGTCTTCTTGAATTCCTTTGAATGATGGCTGGTTGCCATATAGCTCTAATACTCGTTTTGCTCGAGTATATTCTTGAACAGCCTGTATGTAATTCCGTTCATTGACTAATTGTGTCAGTTTTGATGGAAGTGACGAAATTCCAGACAATTTTTTAAGTAGTGCACTTTTCTCAGTCAATTTCGTAAGTTCTGTTCTTGTTTCTTGTAGCGTTCCAGTTATTTGGTCACTAGAATCTGTTATTTCCTTCATATTATCTGCCAACTTTTTCATTTCATTTTCCATTTCTAGAAAATCAGTTTTCATCTTTCTAATCGTTTCTGTTGCTGAGATAAACTTATTATAATTCTCATAAACTAATGTCTGCATCTCTGATGTCAATGTTTGCGTATCTTTTACGATAATTGCCTCTGTATCCATAATTTGTTTCAAATTACATGACTAAAATTATGTGAAAATTAGAAATTGATGATTTCCATTTGTTTTAAGACAAACCTTAAGTAATTTGTTTAGGTACTTATCAGCATCAAAGCTAGAGCTATTCATATCGTATGGATTTTCATGTCTTTCAGCCATATTAAGTGCTGTTTTATTTAATTTAATATTTTTTTGATGATGATAAAAATTTGACAAAACGAAAACAAAATCCCGTTGAAATTAAATTTTGAAATTCAGAGGTAGCTGTGATCAGAAAGGTTTAATTTCAAATATTTATTATAACGGTTTTTTCTACTGATTTTCAATGATCATTGAATCAGTAATTCTAGCCAATATTAATGACTATTTTGATAATTATTCCTACAAATTAGAATATTCTATTGTTTATGGATCAAAATTTGAAAACAATAAAATACACAACTGTCAAATTTTTATCGTTTTCTATATTTTGACAATTTTAATGCCTATAAAAGCTAATGTTCTTGAGAGAATACCTTAATTCACAGCTTAACATAGTTAAACCTCACTCAATTTAAAAATGGATTTAAAATTTATTTTCTTCTGTTTTTTGGTCATATTACAATTAAACTTTGGAAAGTCCGAAAATGAAGGAAGTGGAAAGATTGTTGGTGGTCAAATTATGGATATTACTAATGTTCCATACTTCGTTTCCCTTTTATTTAACGACAGACACATTTGTGGTGGATCTATCATAAGTGAATCATGGATTATCTCAGCTGCTCATTGTGGAGAAGGAAAAAATGCTGAAAATTTCACAATTCGATCTGGTTCCTCAAGAAAGTCTCGTGGCGGTAAAATTCATGCTGTAGAAAGTGTTTATTCCCATCCAAACTACAGTTCATCAACACTTGACAATGACTTCATGTTGTTGAAGCTAAAAGAACCATTAGAATTTGATGCAAAGCGTCAACCAATTACACTTGGTGAATCTTACATGTATTATCAAGGTGCTCATGTCTTAACGTCTGGTTTAGGAACTACACAAGATGCTATGCAATCAAGTGAATTTTTGAGAGGTGTCGTTGTTGAGATTTCAAGTTCAAAGAAGTGTAAAGCTGCATATCCCAGTATGATTACCAAAAATATGTTTTGTGCTGCTGCTGATAAGAAGGACTCATGCCAAGGTAATGGTACCGCTTACAAATGAAGAATTAGAGTATTAAGGCAGTTGATGAACTGAGTTTACGCCAATGATGACTTCAAAGCTCATCCACTATGATCAGAATCAAACTTACATACTTAATGTTAAACTTAAGCTTAACTTCCATTTACTTTCAGGTGATTCTGGTGGCCCAGTTGAAAGTGTTTACTATGGAACTCTCCTTGGTGTTGTCAGCTTTGGTATAGCATGTGCTGATGAGAAGTACCCAGGTGTCTACTCGAAAGTTTCTGAAGCAACCGAATGGATCGAATCAGTTACTAATATTGGAGCTGATATGAGGAAATAAAGCCATTCAATCATATTGCATTACACAAATGTTTTTGTAAACTAAGTTCAATTTGCACCTTGAACATTTTGAAACAATAAAGTCACTGCTATTCATTTTCCAAACTCAAGTTTGTTTACCATTTAACTTACAGGAACATCATTTGCTTTATCAATTTCTAATGATCGATTATAGCTGCAAGATTGCAATCAATTATTGTAGATTGTCATAGGTCTGCGGTCGATTCCATTAGCATTTCACTATATAAGCTATGATTTAACAATTAGAAGTCATCAGTTCAACTGTATATTTCAAGTGAGCTTAAAAATCAATTAAAAAAGACAAAAAAATGTATCCATATATGTGGGGTGAGTAGCCATTGAGCCTATCATCAATTATCTTTAATTATTTGTTTTTAAAATATTTCATAGGAATGAATCCAATGATGGGCGGTATGCCATGGGGTGGTATGGGAGGCGGATGTGGATGTTAAGCCTTAAAATTGATTGATTATGTCGACAACAGCAATAATAATTTATAATTGATAGGAAATGGATGTTAATTAAACAATTAGCATGGATTATGGTCACACAAATAGAAAATAAAGCAATAAATTGATAAGCACACTCATTCATAAAAATAATTTTGAGTCTTTAGTTCCGTTCAATCACATTTCTAGAGAACTTACTTTTCAGTATAAAAACTAGCAGCAATTGTCATCAAATCATCAGTTCTTCAAGTTTTCAAGCTTATTCAAGTTCAAACCAAATCAAAATATAAAAAAATGTCTCCAATGTTCTGGTGCTGCGATCCATGCTGTATGCCATGCTGCAAGAACTTCTATCCATGTGGTGGATGCTGCTGTAAGAACTTCTGTCCTTGCTATCAGTGCTGTTAAATATCAACTCCTGGAGACGACTTACATAAAGATGAATTATCGGCCTTTGTTAAATTGGGTACACCAATATTGACCATTGACCATCCTGGATCAAATTTTTGAATAACTTTTATTTTTAAAATTTGAAGAATTAATAAAGTTTCTCATGCATGTCCAACTATAAATAACTTGTTGTTTTTTGAATTATTTTTGTTTACTTTTCAGCTTTGATTCAGTCTTGATAAATGAAGCATATTAAGGCTGATGTTCCAATTAAATTTGGACAATGATTTTTGACAAGATTCTTCTTCAAACTATATAAATCCCAAATACTATTACATGAAATCGACAGTCTAACAAAGCTTTTTGAGAAATTGAACTACAAGGATCTTCAAAAATGAATCCATACATTTGGGGAAAGTCATGATTGTAAGAGAAAAACTTTAATTTAAAAGATTTTTCCAAAGTGTGGAATTTTCCAAGGATTAATAATGAAAAATCCCAAAAATCTCTGAGTCAATAAACATGAAAATGTGAAATACCTTTTAAATCCCGAAATTATTCATCAAATGCATCAGAAATTTAAAAGACATTTTACATTTTCATGTTTACTGGCTCTGGGATTTTTTAAGGATTTATGGGATTTTTCTCAAAAGTGGAAATCTTCACATTTCTCTAAAAGTAAAAATTTATTAATAACTTACTTATTCGGCAACAGGAATGGGACCAATGTCCTTTTAATCTTCATCATATTGACAAGAAAAATTTGTGCACTGTAATTATAAATGACATCATCTACATGGCACCTTATTAAAATCGGAATGTTCTTTGTGAATTATTTTAATTGAATTAGAATTTGGTTGAACACTATTTTAAGAAATAAAATGCAAATGATTTAATGTCAAAATAATTTTAACTTCAACTTTTAATACAATAGTTTCAATTTTGAAATGAGATTAAAGTTGATTGAGATTACAACATTTTGGTTGACGTTTTGCAGTAATATTGGCTTTTTTCAATGGTACAGAATCAATCGAAAACTATCAAAGCCGATCAAAAAATGGTTTCTTAATCTATAAGAGTTTAAAACCTGCTTGAAAAATTAAAAACAATTCAAAAATCAAAATAATTGCCTTAAAATTTAAAAATAAATCTCAAACAATTAAAAATTAATGAACTTTTAATCTTTGTAAGTTATTGTCAACTAATGCTAAGTGAATTATTGTGAGTAAAAGATTTTTCTTAAAGTCCTTTTTAAAACCTTAAAGGTTTTTAAGTATGAATAAATTTAATGCTACTCCTTAATTCAATTTTGTTTTTTAACTTAAAAGGATTTGATTTAACAAGTTCATGATTTAGGTGATTTAATTTAGTATAGAAATAATTGACATAGATTTTGTGAATCACCATGAACAGTGTTTAACATCTGCTTGTGATACATTATTGATTATTTCGCCCGGGTAAAAATAAACATTATTTGTGTATGTTGAAGATTTTTTTTGGAAATAAATAGTTTTATAAATTTGATTTATGTTAAACATGTAATTTTACAATTGCGTACTCTTATTGCGTACACCTTTTGTCTCACGTCAATTTTAACCCATATCAAAATTATTATTTTTTAATTAAAAATAGAAGCTTCCGCATTTTTTTTGTTTTTATTTTATCTAACTAGTCTGAGTGACAGTAAAATCAATAATTCACTTTCAAGTTACTGCCAATGACTTATTACTCTTTTTTCAATAAAATAAGATAGTATCTTTTATTGCGAAAATAATGTGTAGTTTCGTCTGCTTGCAATCATTAATTATTGTGTTGTGTCAATTGTTTTTAAGATAAGTTTTTTTTGTCAGAAATTTTAGTATAAAAAGTATTTTTTTCAATTGTAAAATCATCAGTTCACTTTTGGTTCTCTGACAATTCAAACTTACAAATCCTAATAAAAATGAATCCATACATGTGGGGTAAGTTGAGGATTAATTTGAAAAAAATCTGACAATAATTTCAATAATTTTCAATCAATAAATTAAAATTTTATTTCTTAAATTTTCTAGGAATGGGACCAATGATGTCACCATGGGGAATGGGAGGCATGGGAGGCATGGGCGGCATGGGAGGCATGGGAGGTGGATGTGGAGGTGGCTGCTGGTAAATCAAAATTGACACTGATCCGGAAAATAAAAATGATGACCTCAAGAACTTAAATGGACATTGACAACTCTATGGAATTGGCAGAAAACTCTCATTTAATATATCATTGATATGGATTTTGGTCACACTTTTTTCACACAAAATAATAAAAAAAAGATATTTTTTCTCTAATATTAAACTTTTTTTGCTATTTTTTTCAATGCCATGAAATCAAAAATTGTCTTTGTTTTGCAGCTACTACATGAACTGATAAGAAAAAAAACATTTTGATTTGGTTATTTTAGCTTCTTTTCGTGTACCTGTCAGAATTGTTGTAACATTGAATGTTCTTTTATAAAGTTATCAATCATTATGCTGTAAACTACAAGATATGATAACAAAAATTTCCCATAAATACAAGAGCTTCTGAAATATTCAATTTAGATCGAGGAGAATATTGAACATAACAACAAAGATGGAAGCCAACTCCACTTCATCCTGTGCCTTCAATGGACCTAAACCAACATTTCATATTAACTCTTTTGTCATGAAGTAACTTCCAATTAATCAAGAAAGAATTTGTTGAACATGAAATTCAAATGAATCAAATAAATAATTGGTGGAACTGAAATCAAAACGTTGTATTAATTAAGGTTGCAATTTTAAATTTGAGGATGTAACTTCGTTGACGCTATAACAGTTAAGTTGACAGAATATTATTTATGATGTATATTAAACAATCGAATTTTTAGTATCCACAACCTAACTTGTCAAATTTTTCTTTGATATGTTGGAATGATGTTTGCGCTAATTCCTATTTTAGGAAGTCATAACAGACATGTTGCTATGTTGGATATGATGAACACAATGTTTATTTATTAATATACTTAATCAAAGAGACCTTAAGTACTCTTTATAAAATTTACAAAGATCTTTATTGTTCCATGATCAGAAAGAGACAAAATATTCATATGAAGAGGTTAACAACTATACAAGGGGAAACAAACGAATTATAGTTGCATATATAAATTGAAAAATGAATTACTTTCACTATATTCTCAACATCTTGCTTTGTTCTTAATATTGCATTGTTTTTATATTTCCACGTGTCAACCTTTTATGATATTAATATATAAATGAAAATAATTAATTATTACCAGGTATTATTGACTAGTTATTACGTATTTCTAATTTCTAAACATTTCTCTTCCACCTCTGACCTATTTACAAAGAAAATTATTAAAATTACAGAAGTTATTGTCCTTTGTACAAAAGCTTATTACTTTATTACAAAAAAAAATTAAAATTCATTTAAAAATTTACAATATTAATTATCATAAAATCATAGCGATTAGCCTATTTTGCATTTTTTACCTTACATCTACAACACAAAATTGAGAAAATGTCAAATAAACTATCAAACAAGAATAAAATATCTTTAAAACTGTCTTAATGTAATTGCAATAATATTTTAACTGTCTTTATAGCCTTTCTAAAGTCGTAACTCAAAATTTAATGAATCTAATTACACTAATGGCTTCATGTAGTTCCTGCAATAAAAATAAGAAATTATTAGTCTATAAAAATAGATCAACTAATCCTTAATACTTACATTTCGCTAACACATTGAGTAAACATCTTCTGCAAATCAATAATTCGTTCACCCCAAATATTTTCCATAGTTAAATAGTTCTGTAATTTCCCTGAGAGTTCCTCAAATGTAGGACGTTCCATTGGATTTGCATGCCAGCAGAACATCATCAGTTCGTAAAGTAAAATGTGGCAATGATTTGGTCGCTCCATTCTGTATCCTGTTTTTAATATTTTAAGGATATTTTCAACACTTATTGATGAATATGGCACAGCACCTAAGGTTGCGATTTCGTAGAGGAGAATTCCAAATGACCAACTGGAAAGAGAGTTAATTATGGAACTAAAGACTTTCTGTATACTTATTTAATGAAAAGAAAAACTTTGAAGCTTTATAACTTAAAGATCAGTTTCAAACCTTTGATTTAATAATCTAATTTCACTACTTACACATCACTTTGAGAAGTATAAACTTGATGAGTCATTGATTCTAATGCAAGCCATTTGATTGGCAACTTTCCATTTCCAGTCTTTCTGTAGAAATTGTCTTGATAGATGTCTCTGCTTAGTCTTCATTTTGTTTGCAGAAAATATGAATTAAAATTCAGAAAATCAATTAAAAGTCTTGAAAAACTTACCCAAAATCTGAGATCTTTACAGTTTTATTGGTACAGACAAGAATATTTCTCGCAGCAAGATCACGATGAACCACTTTCTTTCTTGACAGAAAATCCATTCCATCACAAATCTGCTTAGCAAATGAAAGAAGATCGCTGGATACTAAAAAGTCATAAACAGGATTTAATTCATCCTCAACTTTTGTACTAAGTTCAATGACTGTTGCTGGTTCCATAGAATCACTGTTTAATTTAAGATACAAAGCATTTGTTGCTGTCATTTCAATTGCTTGCAAAACTTGTCCATTATTACTTCCATTATTGTTCAGATCGTCGTACAATTGATTAACAACAAAAAGATTCTTTTGGACTTCCGAGCATCCAATGTTTTTGTAAGAAATTTCTTTTTTGTCTCTTTCAGACATGTCAAAATTCAGCAAACTGTCTGGATACTTTTCCACTGTTATTTCAAATGATGAAAACTTCCCTTTTGTATCATAAAACTTTAATTGCTTTGCGAACTCGAACCTTTTTATTGGAAGGTAAAGTGGAATGAAAAAAAAGCAATTAAAAAGGGTTAAAAATATAAAATTATTATTCTTACCTCAACAGGTCTAATAAATTTCCAGCATCGCAATATTCTGTCAATAGCATCAAATATTTAATATCCGATGTGCAATGTCCAACGATGCTGACAATATTCTCATGATGTCCAACTGACTTCATCACTTTTATTTCTTGGTGGAAATGTTTGATGTCTTCAAGATTTGAGGTGTCTGTGGACAACAGGAAAAGGAAATAAATTTACTGCATCTTACTATGTTAAATAAACAGCTTTAGAATTTGTCATTGTTTTGTCTAGGTATGCAAGGCATATAGATAAATAAGAGGCGGAAATGTGTCTCCGGAAATTTATGACTTAAGGATAATTTTAGACTCACTTTTAATCATCTTAACAGCCACGTGCTCCTTCTCTCCATTTCTTATAACTAATCCTTTCTTAACCAATCCAAATGCACCTTCACCAAGTTGCTCCAAAACTGCAATGTTATCTTTCTCAACTTCCATAAATTCATCTTTTGTCAATTCAGAAATTAGCTCTAAAACTGTTCCTGATGACATTGATTTGACAGCTTCGATGTCCATGTCTTCAATTCTTTTTTGAGCCAACATGGATATAAATGAGTCGATTCTGCCTTTCCAGATTTTGTACAGTACAATTATAAGGATAATCATGAAGCCTATGGATGCATAAAATAAGTTATGCATTATCTTGCTAGGATTTTTTTTTCTTAAAGTTTCTGCGAGACTATCAATGAAAATTTCGTTTTCATCTTCATCAAATCCAGCAATAATGACTTTGATGTTTGGTCCGAATAATTCAAGCTTTTCAAAATCAAATGAGTTGGAAATCTGAAGTTGAAAAAATATGTTTATTAATTTAAATTGTTGAATCTATTATGTAAGTATATCTGTCAGTGCGAGAGTAAGGCTGGTTACATAACAGACTGCATATCTGTAACCTTATTATGAGAATGTAAGTTCGATTCTCATTATAAGCTGATTTCACATAATCATTGACTTGATGTTGATATGACAAGAATCCGAACAATTCTAAAGACTTGACAATAATCTTTGTATTTTCCAACTTACCCCTGTATATTTTACACTATAAAATCCAGTTGTAATGTTCTCATTTATTTCAGCATCTTGATCCCATACTTCAATTTCAAAGCTCTTCGGACGTGGCTCATTCTCGTCCCATTTAACATGTACATCATACAGATCGTCTTCTAAGTGCTTAATTTTAACTTGAAAATCGATGTATATCTTGAGTGAAAATTCACGCCATTGCTCAATGCTACGAATACTTTTGTAGACATTCACACCTCTAACTCCAACATTAAACTTTTGATGTGCTTGTAAATTTGCAAATGTATATTCAAACTGGCTATCTAGTAAAATTTTCTTCGGTTCCATGTGATCACCGTAAATAATAACTTCATAGTCACATGTGTGATCTCTAGCTGGTTCCCATCCGATAGTAAGATTGAAAGACTCTTCTAGATCATATATGAAAATATCACTATGGTCTTTAAACTCAATTTCAGTAATATTTTCTGGTCTAAAATCTTCCATTAATGTCGTAAACATTTTAGTTCCAAGTACTTGAACGACGGCATTTGACGAAACAACGTAGACAGTAATATTATACGAAAGACTTGTAGACTCTTTAGTGCTCAGGTCATCAACAGTGACTTTTGTCAATTTCTCTTCAGACTACAATAAAATAAGTTGTTTGAAAACAAAGTCAATTAGAATTTTAAATCATTATGGCTATAAAATCAAAATATTGCGTCAACTTACAAAATAAATCATTCGATCAAGAAATTTTCCAGTTGATTCTTCAAGAATTAGCATATAAACGAATGTCTCATTGTCATCTGTGTATTCCACGTGATGATCTATTTCAATGATCATTTTATGAGCATCACGGCAAAAAAGATGAAAATCTGTTTCATTAAGTTGTGGCTCATATTCCAAAATTATATCTTCGGTGTAGTTCTCTGACGTTATGTTGTTGTAACAATGCTCGAGTGTCTGTTGGTCGAGAAACGGAAGTTGAATAATTTTTTTTTGTTCAAGATGAGAATGAATTTTAAATTTTGATGCAAATTCGGATGTTTTGATTGATTTAAGAATTTTAAAATTCAGCTGAACAACAATTCATTAAAAATCACAAAGGTCACAATTTAATGACAAAACAAGTCCACATGACATCAAAATTTAATTAAAAATTTCACACTTTCTTAACGCCACGATTTATAAATTTACTCACCACATTAGGATTAAATTGCTTACACATCGCAATTCTTGATGATATTTTTAGATGCTCAACTTCCACAATATCAGCCTTTCGTGCACAATTAGAGTTATTCACAAAAAATGCAACGCACAACAACTGCACATATTTAAACATTATCGCACCCATTTTTTTAGATTCTTATCTTAACCACATCAATTCTTAAAATGAACTAAGCAAATTTCTTGTAATTTTTTTCTGAATGGAAACTTGTTGGCTACCTGTAAGCTCAAATAACAACCTGGTGCATATGATTATAAACTTTTTTCTCTCTTTCTTTTCACTTTCGTGCTAATCTGTTTCCGTTTTGGTAGTCTTTAAGGTAATTATTTTGTTTCGTCATAAATATTCGTCAATAATAATTGCTATGGATTTCATTAACACAATAACTACATATCGGGTCAGCACAGGTAGAATAAAAAATTATTTTAAATTATTCACTGGAGTAGGTAGATTCATTCACAAAAAGAACAGTCTCAAGGAAATGTAGCACATTTTTTTGGGAACAATTAACGAGTTTTAAAATTAAAGTCCACGAAATATGTTATTTAATTTGAAAGATGACTGGTACCTCCCATAGCTATAATCGAACTGAATTGAAAATAGACTTTTTGCCACAAACTTATTGAAATTTATTCAAAAATAAAATCGTATCAATTTTGTGCGAATTAAAAATTTAAAATACAAAAAAAAGTTTTGTTTTTCGATTGAAGCATTTTTTGAGCATTTCAAATTAACTGAATTGAACATATTGAGATGGGTAATTAACATTTTTAAAATTATGAAATAGAATTTTTATTGTGATTTGTCAGCATGTTGGATTAATTCAGTTATTGCATTAAGGGGCTGTTCACTTATTACGTAACGCGAAAAAATGACTTCTTAGACCCCCCCCCCCCTCGTAACAAAATTTGTATGAAAAAAAAATTTCCTTGTTTGAACCGTAACAAAATCTTAGACCCCCCCTCCCCCTAAAAGCGTTACGTAATAAGTGAATGGCCCCTAAGTAGTTGAGTTTTAAATTAAAATTTTTTCAATTTCATTCCGTTCTTATTTCTTTAAGTTCAAATACAAAAGATGGCGCTTTGTACCAACTTGAAGCTCAATATTTCGACTTTAAGAGTCAAGTTTAAGAAAGCTCAAGTCTTATGTGCCAAATCTATATTTCACAAAGCGTCCAATTGAGTAAGAATTGCGAAAATTGACATAAATTCTTAACAATCTAAATTTAAGCTTCCAAAAAACTCTGACGATCACGCTTAAATAGTGGACTGCGAATTATGTAGATGTTGTTCCCAATTTTATCAAGTTTGTTGAATATGTTTTGATTTGTTGATGAAACTGCATTGATTCTATATCAAGAATTGGTAAAAATATGTTTTTTAAGTTGTTGTGTTAAAAAAATAAGTTTAACTCACGTTATTTCATCGCCTACATTACGTTTACAGTATCTATGTTTTAAAGCCATGAAAATAAAATATAAAACTTCAATCATTGAAAGTAAGGAGCATCCCAAAAATAGTCCTAATAATCCACCGAGATCAGCAATGACTAAAATTATGAAAGTTTTGATGAAAGTCATTTGATTATTTTGGATTGTGAACATTCAACAAGATTCTTCCAAAATTTATGAACTTACAATTTTGCACTTTATATGCTACGTACGTTTCGTGAATCTGAACTTCGTGATCATTAAAGTTAACATAAAAGTACGAATAGTGCAACCTAAATTATTCAGAAATTCATCAATAATTCAAAGTTAACCAAGTATTATTAATCATACAAACTAGTGTAGTTTTTAATATGATTAGCATGTGATGTTGCACGATATTCAGAGTCTGATTCAATAGCTGAATATTCAATATCATTGCATGTTGGATAGCAAAGGCAAGGCGTTGTCCCTTCAACCAAATCTTCATGATTAGGCCATTGATAAACATATTTTTGAACACAATTTTTTTCCATTAAATTGCAGATTTTAGTTGATGAATTTCGTGGCATATAAAATGCCACACATCCACATTTTTCAAGCAAAAAATTTGTCAGGCACTCCAAGTAGCAGTGATATTTGGTATAAATTTTAAAGAATTGAAGCTCTCGTTCATTAGTAAAGTAACATCGTCGTGCATGTGGTGAATAACTTCTCAAAGATGGATGAGCTTTTATGACCTTTGCAGTAATTAAAACTCGCTGTGCGTGTGTATATTCTTGCAAGAATCCTCGATGAAAAAGAGTTGGAATTTCATTCGGCATGTGAATCCTTATATGAATGTTTTTTTGGAAGCAAATATTGTACATGTCTTCTAATTTTGAAAACATTATAAATGTGTGATCATTTTCTTTAACTAAGCGAAGAGGAGTCACAAAATTTGAGGATACATTCTTGTATCCACCATCAAGTGTCCAATGAACATCATCACCAAGTTTATTTAAAGCTTCTGAAGGCGGACGTTTCATATAAATCTTAAAATCTTCACTTAAAACTTCATTTTTGAATATTGTATTGAATCTTTGGAAATTTGTCGTGAAACAAAATCCACGATCTGTTAAAATCCTCTTAATAATGAGATTACAATCCTTTTCTTCAAGTCTCAAATCACAATTTGAAAAAGTTTCATCAATTGTAAGATAACTTTTATCCATCAAATGAACTATATTTGAAATATTTGCATCTTTACAGCATTCAAGAATCGGGTCTAAATCATCTTCGCTACATCGAATCGTATTGACAGCTAAAAATTGCTTATCCATTTCCGTCAAATTAAAAACATTTTTCTTTCCATTCCTGTAATATTCGTTCATGAAATGTGTATAATTTGCTAAACGATTCTTCGCAAAAACTGGCAAGCACATTGTTATTGCAGGGAATGGAACGTGTCTTGAAAGCTCTTGCTTAACTGTAATTCCTATATCTGGTAAGATATTCAGTTTGATGTACAAACGTTTTGCGTTGTATATTAATCCAATAAGAGATATGATTAACGAAAGTCCCCAGAAAATTCGTGAAAAACTGCTATTGCGTCTTTTTGAAAGAAACTGAAAGCCATGAATTGAGCTTTGCTTTGTGAAGAAATCAAAAGTGTGTGACGACTTTGCGGTTTCAGGAGGAAAGCTTCTTTTCAATTTATTTGATTTGTGGAAATATTTCAACTTTAATATATCAAATTTTTGCTTAAAATTATCAGTTTGGTCCATTTTAATATGTCTTTGTGAAAAATATAATCTTAGCAGGATCAACTTTATTTAACAAATGAAATTCTAAACTGTGAAGCTTGACTGAAACATGAAGTCAATGTTTTAAAAAACTCCATTAATTTTAATTTATTAAGTGCAAATTTATGTCATTCTGAAATATTCGAGTATCATGCAAGAAGATTATTCATTAGAGTTCGTGAGTGGAATTTTAAATTCATTGTTCAAATTCCTAATATTGACAACACTAATGCAAAAAAGAAATCAACTTATGAATAAAAGTAATCAGTGTTTTTCCCTTTTTTGGATATGGCTCGAAGAACATATCAGTAGTAGATAGGACTGAGCATAAGGCTCGCGTTAAAATGGTTATATGTATATGACGAATAGCCGAAGTGACATAAGTACCTCGAAGGCCAAGTGGCAGGGATCTCTGATCGAGCGATCAGAGATATAGCTTCTTTTGAGGTTGTGGGTTCGATTCCTATCGAGCAAGAGTTGTTTTTCATTAGTATACACATATGGCAGTTATAGACACCCTTCATTAGGAACTTCCACAATTTCAGACCATTTATACTTTCAACTGGATGTACATTACTAATCAGTAGCTACGATCTAAAATTTATTAACATTTTTTTTCATAAAGAAAGTCCAATTAAAAGATAAATTATCATTTAACAAAAATAAATCATCTAAAAGGAAGTAAACCAGCAAAACAAGCACTGTAGCATGAACAATAAAAGAGCAGTTGATTGTGCAATGCTGCAGTGAAAGACTGACTGAAAGCGTGAAAATATTTTTAAAAATCAGATGAAAAGAAGAAATGCTAAAACAAGCAAATTACATTAATTTATCAAGATGGCAGAGACGCCAGGCATTCAAAATATTTCAACCTCGTAGCATCGATTTAGACTTTGATTAACTGCAACCTGAATGAGCTCCACTTTGATGAGTTAAATGCATTCATAAGATTTACATTAAAATTTCATTGAATACACCTTAATGGGTTTAGTTCAAATGAAAAAGTCACCGCAAAATGCCATTTCATTTCATTAAGTTATGAATAGTTGCAAATAGTCAACATCGACAGATCTCATTAACAGTTCACAATCGCTCGTCATTAGTCTTTCTTGAATTATGCTTGAGTATGTTCATGTGCCATTCATTAATCTTGTCGTTTTTATAATGATGATAGTGGAATGAAATTTTTAAGTAAGAAATTGTTGAGAATTATTAAGAAGCAGTTTTAAAAATGGAGGGGGGGGGGGTGCAAGTGTGTCAATTTTTGATCATTTTTAGTCATTTTTGCTCATAATTAATCATTATTCATTACAAAAATCACGCTACTCAACAACTCTTTGATTTAAGGCACATATTTAAATTTGTATTTGCCAGCTGAAGACTTAAAATGCTATTACTATGAAAAACTTATAAAAGCATGATTATAGACCATTGTGCCTCTCAGGAAATAAAATGCTTTATCATCATCATACAACAAACCAATCTAATTGATCACTTAATAATTTTTATCACCATAATCAGCCGAACAAAGTGCGAAAATAATCATAGACCTTCCCTTCCTGCAAAAATCCGCAATTTAAAAAACTTACGCAGCTAATGACGAATGATCATTAAAAATTTGCTAGATAAGTAAATGTCAGTCAACTCAACAATTCAAGATAAATAAAAAGATATGATTTTCGACTGTAACTTTTTTTATTTAACAAAAACATTTTCTTCATCTTCTTCAACTTATTCGTATGATTATGACAAGAATTATTTACAACGGTAACAAATAAATTAATTAAGAAATGCAATTGTCTCTCGCTCTCTCGTTAGATTAAAATATAAAGTAGGATTTAGGTTCATGTAGGCAGGCAATTTGAGTATTTTGATTAATCTTTTTAGTGTGGAACTCCGTATGATGTTGATGGACGAGATGGGGCACCGTATGATGAGCTTGGACGTGATGGAGCTCCGTATGAGCTGCTTGGTGCTGAGAATGAAGGAGCAGAGAATGATGGAGATGAGTAAGAGCTGCTTGGAGCTGAATAAGAGCTGCTTGGTGCTCCATATGATTGACTTGGTGCTGAGAATGATGGTGCGCCATAAGAGCTGCTTGGTGCTGAGAATGATGGAGATGAGTAAGAGCTGCTTGGAGCTCCATATGATTGACTTGGTGCATATCCTCCTGAGATAGATTCTTGTTTCAAGTATTGTGCAACTTGACGACTTGGTTGGACATGTCCAAATTGAACACCAACAACACGTGCTGAGGCGTATCCAGGTGGTCCGTATGATTGTGAAGGTGGTCCATAAGATTGAGAAGGTGGGCCATATGATGAGCTGATTCCACTATGTCCGCTATGTCCTCCATGTCCGCTATGTCCTCCACGTCCACCACCTCCAATATTTTCTTGTTGGACTAAGATTTGTTCAATTGTATGTAATAACTTTTGATCAATGTTTAATCCTTCTGTCCCTTGATGTCCGATAGCAACTTGTTGATATCCTGAGCCCCCACCATGTCCAAATCCACCTCCAAATCCTGATCCCGATGAATATCCACCTCCAATGTGAGATGAAGAATATCCACCTAATTGAAAAGATTTTTGTCATTAGGAATTAAAGATAATTTAAAGCTCATAAACTTACCCGATGATCCCCCTCCAAAGCTACTGTGTCCACCGCTGCTATATCCACCTGATGATGGACGACTGTATCCATAACCAGCCTCACCGCAAGCGCTTGAGACAAGAGCAACAACAAATACCTGAGATTGAAGAAGAAGACAAATTAGATTATATAATTTTAATTGTAATTTGCACATTAAGTGAGCATACAATTTAGTGTAAACTCGTGCTGTGATCGAGGTTAAAACTAATAATTACTGGAATTACTAAGTGCGTCAATCATGATCAATGTTTGGAAAGTTTTATACCGTAAAAGTTTTGAAGAAATTTATGATTTTTGAAAAGTTAAAAAATTTCAAAAAAATTCAGGAGTGAGTGCAAAATTCCTAAATGTCATCATTGCCCAAGCAGAATGTCAAGCGCACAGACAACAAAATAAAAAAAAAAATTATATAATTAAAATCACAATAAGAAGTAATAACATTTCTTTCCGTCTATTTTCGACCGTGAATGAAGTTCGAAGAGAAAGAAGCAATGAAAGAAAGAAAGAGCGCAAAAAAATGAAAGTAAAAGTATGTACGAGTCTGAGGTCAATAAAAGTGCTGTAATATTTCTAACCATACGACTTTATACGCCGACTATCAATTATTATGCATTATCTGGGTTTGTAGCATTATATTTTGTTATGTTTGAATCATATCTATGTCATGTTGTTATATTTTTTTTTTCATCAAATTTACCCACAAAAGATTTATGATGATGCACGATTTATTGTGTGAAAAATGGTAAGTTGGATGTATTATACAATTCACAATTAAAATCTGTCAAATTTCATCATTTCACGTTTCATGAGCTATGAAAAAAATTTCTTTAATGATATTTTCACTTAATCGCGATGATACAATAAAAACATTTTTAATGCACATCAACTGAATTTCGCATTATTGGTCTTCCTACATGCTTCTGTTATTAATTTTCATCTCTTTTCAATTTACTTATTGACTGTTATTAATGCCACGACTGCACAATATGAAATTGAAAGTTGTTTCCTATAAATCACACGATTAATTCTCGGTAACTGCCTGAATGCCTCTTAAATATTGAGGATCATTTTTCTTGGCATTTTTTTTCTCCTTTTTTCTTCCTCCATCTGCACTTCTCTCTAATGAAAGTGAAACTTCTTTCATTTTTATTAGCCATCAATATGATCATCTCCATTTTAACGTAATTGCATAAATCTCAATTTGAACTTTCACGTCATTTTTTTACAAATTATAAAAATGTCATGAAATTTAATTTTTGCTGTTAAGTTGAAGATGAATGAAAGTGGTGCTTGTAAAATGAAGTTGAGATATGTGAGTATGAGATTATTTTGAAGAAATTTGAAGTTTCAGTGTGGATTTCGAATTCAGAATAAGTGCTTTTGAGTTTGTCTTATTCAAATTAACACTAATGATAAATACAATGGGAAGTTATAAAATAAGATATGCTGGAAATCATATGAAGAAGTTACATAATATGATGAGAGAGTAACATCATCAATAGATCCTTTACAGACTCAGTCTGGTATCAGAAGGAGTGTAACAAAGCTACAATAAGACTTTTAACTTTAAAAACCAATTGTAACGAAAATCTTATAGAAACTATTCATTTTGGCGCAAAAAACAATAAGTCTAAACAGTCTTGAAAATTAAACTTAAGGAAAGGTTAGTGACTTTACTAAAATAGCGTGTAAAAATCAACTTAAATGTTGCAAATAAATGCCGTTGATCTTTAATCGAGCAAACAGAGATCGTTCTGCTTACAAATAAAGATTTTTTTAGAAATAAGGATGCAGAGCGATCAACAATCCTCAAAACATGAATCATCAGTTCTATATCCTAGATTAACATTGAATCAAATCTGTTTTAAAAGAGAATTCTCGTTTGAATTAAAAACTTGACATTTGTTCTTAATTTAATTCCGATTTTAAAATTACTCCTTGGATTAAAAATAGAACAAAGTTTTGAACAAGTTTTAAACGTCCAGATTGCAGTTTATTCCATGAATTATTAATGATTTTTTTTGCCGATTAATTTATAAAATGGTTCAAACTAATGAATCTAGATATTGATCTCATTATTATTTTAATTTCCGAATTTTATTTATTTGTTTGTTATTGAAACGAAAAAAAGCAAGGTATACAGTGATTATATAATCATTTGCACATCCTTTTAGTTGCTTAATCTTTAAATGATTGAAATGTTTGAATAAATTTTTTACTTCAAAGGATACTTTCGATTGTTGACTCAGTAATATTTAATACCAACTTATATTCATTGAAATATTTAACTTCATTGACACAGTTTAATTGACTTTTGCAATTAAAATTCTTCTCTCTTTTTTCGTTAAAAAGTCATCATAACATTTAATGCCAAAATATTTCCATAAATTATTTGATTATTTTTCGAAATCACTCAATGACAATCATCCAGCTTAAAAGATTAACTTCAGCTTTGCATTACACGAAAATTTAAAATTTTTATTTCACTGATTATTTAATTGGATTTTCATATTGATCCATCCATATTAATGCACTTAGTAATCTTTAGTCCATAATGCGATTATTTATGACACTTTTCGTTACGCTGCACTTAATTTTTCAAACACTTTCAATTCCTTTTTGTTATTTCATAATTTCAAACTTACCACAACAAATTTATTCATCTCTCTTAATATTTAATACTGTGTGGTGTTCTCGAGCTTTAAGTTACAATTGATGGCAAATATCTAACCGTCATCTGCTTTTTATACTTCAAAACATCCCAGCTTCAATCTTTTTTCTTTCTTCATTATTCGGCTTCGTGAACTTCTCACCGGAGAGCGCGAGACTCCTTCTCGTGTGTTTTACTCGCAAAGCATTTTTTTGTTATTTTTTCTTTACAGATCGTCGCGTTTATAATTCACTGCGTACTGTACGAATATATTTTATTTATTTTTTTACAAAAACAACGATGATCGCAATTGCTGCATAAAAGTGCTTTCAGTGTCCATTGTATTTACCAGGAATCTGTTCGATGGAACGGAGGAGTTTACGATGAATTTCTCGGGAAATAATTTAAAGATTTGGTTAAAGTTTTATTAATTTGCCATTTAATTAAAGTGATGATAAAATATTTTTATTAAGTTAAGCAACTATATCAACAGTGAGGTCTCTAGAAACAGGATTTCAGTTTCACAATTTACTTCTTTTTCAACTGTTTCTTCAGAGCATCTTCAAAAACAATTCATAGCACAATGATGATTCTCAATTAATAAACAAAGATTTTTCAAAGACAATCAAAAATTCATTTAGCTTTATTTCCATTTCATGACAATTCCTCGTAAATGTTGCAAATCATGAGAAACTAAATCAAATCATTATTAAAATTTAATACAAAAGGTTTATTATGATTATGTCATTTTAGATGCATGGTGGCATTATTGTATGGATTCCCATAATTTCAAGAAGTGAAAAGTTAAATTCACACATTTAATAATTTCATTTCGGCATATGAAAATAATGAGTAGAGTCTTTTAATTTTTTTATATTTGCAATATAAAATGATATAGATTTGTGAGAAATAAAGGTTATAAAAAGTCATGAATTTTATTGTTCTGTAGGGACATTTAAGAAGGGATGTAAGTCACAATTTATATGTATGGGCAAAAAAATTCATTCTAGTGAACAAAGAATCAAAACTGTAATTAAAACTTTATCAAAACACATTGATATGTTGTCCTCGCGACGACCAAGTGGATAGTTTACCTAGAATCAAGTTGTAGCTGCTTAAGAGTTATTTTTTAAAGGTAATTAGCAGCTACATTACATCCTGTTATATTAAATTTTTTTCGATCAGGATTGACACATTATCAACTAAAATACTATTTTAAAAAATAAGAAGTTCCCCGAATAGCACAAGTCGGATAATTGAATTGAAATCTGGCATGGTGCTAGCTTCGATTTAAACCTAGCACCATACCAGAGTTTCATAAGGCTATGTATAGGCATGGTGCTAGGTTTAAATCGAAGCTAGCACCGTGCCAGAGTTACACTAGGTTGGTGCGGAATTTCTGATTCGTCAGCCGACTTGTGCCATTCTATCATTATCTTAATATTATTCTGCATAAATAGATAACAAAAATTTAATTTTATTCACAATTCCAAGTCAAAGTATATCTTTAATACCGAAATTCACACAACCCTCAAAAGCACTCATCAAAATCTCAAGCTCAAGAATCTTTTGACTCAAAAAAACTCTTCAAATTATCCAATCGAAAGAGTTCTTCCTGCCAACCTCTTTATTACATAACCAAATGAGTCAAATGGAATGTAACGGAATAATTGCAACTTCCCTTGAAGCATGTAATAAAAATATAATTCAACATCATCTGCATAGCAAAGAAATAATCAAAGGAAATGAGCATGCAACTGCAAACAAACTCCGAGGGTTTCTCATGAAAATTATGCTGATTATAAAAATTTGAATAATAATAAAACCACGAAAATTCAATAAATTGAATTTCATTTATTTTTGGTTATGCCTTAATCATGTAGAAAGAAACAAGATTTAACAGATGATTTATCAATAATCGATGTTTTATATAAATAAAATTCAATTTATCATTTTTTTGTGCATAATGAAGCGTTGACAGGTGATAGACTCAATAGCATCTGAATTAAGTGATTGGCATTTGATGTTGGTACTTTAAGGGCATTGATTACTCTTTATGATGTAGTAAATTACATAATAAATTTAAGCATGTAAGCAAACTTTTTAACAAAGTGAAGAAAACCTTAGGGGTGTACTCAAATCTCATTGTTGATCTTAAAAGTACAGCATGTGGTCTATGATTATGCAATAAAGAAGGAAATTGATTTATGAGTTTGTTTTGTTGCTCTGGAGCTAAGTTTAAGTACCAATATTGTTTTCTGGTTACTTAAGAAATTAATAACAAGCCTGAAAACAGGATATGATAAATAAATATAGGAACAACAATCATTATAGGTGGCGTACCTAATAACAACTCCATGGGATGTTGCAAATGTGCTTCAATTTTTGTTTACTTGAATTAAGTCTTTGACAATCTTAAAAAAATCCTCAATACATTTAATTTACTCCAATATAACCTTAAAAATAGCATCTGATGTGTCAATTTTGAGACCTCAAGTTCACTCTTTCAATATCAACTTTTGTGTCAATTTTCGCACTTTCTGTTCATAAAAATTTTGAAAGTTGTCAATTCAAAACTTTTAAAAAAATGAATCAAAAAAAAAATAAATTTCAAGACTACGTGAGAATAAAAAATTCAACAATTTAATTGCCTAATAAGTTGAACAGACAGGCAAGACCAAACAACATAAACTTACCATCTTATAATTTCTTCTTCTTGCGTATTTTTTTGCCTTTTGGATGTGTAATACAACATTACAGTAAATTTTATGAAAAAAATTGAAAACTTACTTTAAACACTGTCATGATCAGCTACAATAAAACAGCAACAGAGCGAAGAGAGAAAAATTTGCAAGAAGAAACAAGAAAAATTCACAGCATGGACATGTACACAAAATTTCTCATATCTACTAAAGCATTTCATTCAATCTGAATAATTTTTTGTATTTCATTTTCGGTGGGGTTCGACTCGACCATTCACTTTCATTGCGAACTAAAAAGAGCGCGTCTGCAAGCGAAATGGAACACTAAATGGCATCGCAATCATCGGTTCTCTTTATGTGCATGATGAGTATGCAAAATAATAAGCGAATAATTGCGTTTGTTGAATTTCTTTCAATTTTTGGATACATCTCATTTTTGCTGTGTTGTCTGTGCGATACTTGATTTGTTTGTAGATGCTTTGTAGGGTTTTGGAGCTTGCAAGCGCTTGATCAATGTTTTTTTTTAAAAAAGAAATTAAGTTTTTATGGATTACTCTAAAGCGTAGATAATTTGCATTGGAGTCAAAAGAGAAAACCACATTTTTGATGGACATCATATGTAAACGACCCCTTATAGCCCTCCTTATAATCATCAAAAAATCTCAATAATTTTGTTAATCTAAATCTTATCCTGAACTTATTAATATCAAATCAAAGCTCAAGAGCTTCAAATTTGACTTTCATCGAACTTCATAATCATGTTAATGACTGTGCAAAGCTCATTATTACATCTAGCATAATGATATACTTTTTAATCTAAAGAGCTTAAATAGTTATTACATCGTAAACTCAGATCAAAAACTTTAAGATATAAGTGTAGGAAAGTCCCAATTTTTGATCGATAATAACAAGTAATTATTAAGCTCGTGCTGTATAAAATTTATGAACTTACTTATTGTGGTGATGCAAATGAGACACTTGAGTTAAACATTCTTTACAATATTCTTCAAATTTGCATAATATCGACTCTCGCATATTCTTTCTTTTGAAGAGAAATCCTTGGAATAATTGACTTTGCAGCACCTTTACAATTGATGGACGACGATTTATAAAAAAAACTTTTTCTTAAGCATAGCTAATTAGGTGTGTGCATTTACAGAGCGATGATTGATGAGACGTTTTTGTCACAAAGTTATCTCCACTAGTGTCTCACAATGTATGACCCGGAATAAAATAAAGTTTATGTTTTCTGCATCCACACAGGGAGATTCATGGCAATATCAATATTATCACAAATATTTGTGGCTGCATTGTTTTGAGCCTGATGGACTACAATCTTTTATGATAAGAATGTGTAGGGTTCATTCCTTAATGATTTATAATTTTAAGAGGGAGACGGGAGGGAGGACTAAGACTGTATGACAAAAGGGTCTAAAAGTCATTTATGAATGACCAAAATAATAACCATTTTAAAAAAATCAATCAATCATTGTTAAAGCGGTCAACAACTGTGCTAACATCACACCTATCACAACATGATCACCGCAATTACACTTTTATAGTACTCAACAATTTGACTAACAGAGAAACTGAAGAAAACCATTAAGGAGACTTAAATTTGGAGCAGCTTTTTGTGTGTCTTTGTTCCAAAAATTTCGATCCTTGTAAGTGTAAAAGACATAATTGTAAGCACAAGAAAATAAATTAAAATTATTCCTTTCAATTATTATATTTCCGACTAAGATATCATTTTACAGCTTATGTCACCATGTTGATCTCCCAAAATACCACACTCCTTGTAATGTCTCAAAAATTCATATCCACAATTATCATAAGTAAGTTGTAAATTAATCTTAATAAAAAACACGTACAATCATGTGGTAAAGTGAAACTTTTACATTAATTTATGATATTAACTGTTTATAAATTATATTTACTGTCAAATGTCACAGCATTAACGAGTCATTTGGTTACTTTAAAATCATGGATCATAACATTGCCTTACTTAATTTATTTTCTTTTCTTTCTCTGAAAGTATCGTGACCTTTTTGGAAATATTAATTTATTTTTCAACTAGCGGGGATGTTTGCAGATGATGTCTATTTATAAGCAATCCCCTCGCCTTTTAGAGCCAAATATTGGCGAATTTGCTAGTGCCTTAAGAAGCTCTTGATCGCAGAGTGGCTAAGCATTTGGCTGAAACTTTTATGAGAACTTAAGTTCGATTCCTATCAAAGTTTAACTCTCTTAATCTTTGCATAGAGTGTTGTCAGTTTGACAAAGACTTAACCATTGCTCACAAAGTTGAAGAGTGTCTGTTAAAGATCAGATGTTGGACGTAACAAATAACAAATCCCAAGGAAATATTTTAGTGAAACTGAAAGCGGATAGAAGTGCCAATTTAGAAACATTTCTTTAAAACTATCGATTTTCAATCACAAATTTAAGTTAATTAAATATCAATAAAAAAATCCCACATTCCAAGGATCGTAATTTTCATATCATCACTGCATTGCATCTATCGATTAAGTATCTTTTAATAATTTTTATATCTATTTAAATCCAATTGCACAACCGCGACACATCAAAAAAAAAAGATACCGCAATAATTTCACTTCATATAAGAGACCATCTTAATATGTGTCATCTCCATAAAAATGCGCTTTACATGCACGTCATCCAATCACTTTCGGATTAATTTCAATTTCTATCCACTTCCTGTGTATTGCACATCGTGAATTAGAGACGAAATATGAAGAGTTAAGGCAATGAGTGGTAATATTAACAGCGTATGTACCAAATTGTGTTTTATAATCGACCGGTACGACGATCATCACGCGATTCATCCGAAGTGAAAAGTTGAAATTTTGCTTTTTTTTCGAATAAAAACGGTGACTTTATTTTTTTGCGAGCAGTTTTATAATTAAAGGTATTAAAAATTTTAAATGATGATGGAAATGTGAACCTCTTCTGCACCATTCGATTTTATTTTGAATTTACCATCTAGGTACGCCATAAGTTTGCTTTGGAACTTGAATGATGACAGTCTTTTTTGGTGCTTCCCATCCTTTGCTTGCTGGTTGCCATCCCTTATGTGCTGGTGCATAACTGTCATGTCCAATGTAGTAAGCAACTGGGTAGCTTTGAGTTGGATGATCGAACCAAAGATCAGATACGCGACTTGATGTCCATGGCTGCCATCCGTGACTTGGTGGACCGTATGAAGCTTTTGGTGCTCCATAAAGACCGCTTGGTTTTGAGACTGAATTTTGTGAGTTTTCATGAGCAAGAATGACTTGCTTTACTGTATTAAGGAGTTTTGCATCAATATGTGCACCTTCGGATGGAATATGACCTACAGCATGTGATGTGTAGTGAGTTGAAGCAACAAGTGGCTCATATGAATATCCAGGTGAGATTGTTTCCCATCCAGATGGATAAGAAGGTGCTCCATAAGTCAATGATGGTGGCTCAGCGAATGATGTGGACAAGACCATCAAAAATATCTGTAATCAGATAGTCACATAGTTACATCATCCGTAAGTACGATGAAGACGGCAAAGAGGAGAAGAAAATTTAAAACAAGTTTTTCAATCTTTTTTATTGCACTGATCTGCACTGCTTTATTTTTAAAAGTCCTTTTTCTTTACTCTTTCACCTTACTTTCATTTTTATTATGCATGCACTTCTTTTCGACTTACCGTACAAATTCGGTTCATTTTTACAGGTTTTTTTTTCTCTTTAAAAACTGCACCACAAAAAATTAACTTTCTTACAACTCGTCTAGTCTTGTCAATTCAGATGATAATGGACAATTGAGTGCATTGAATAATGCAACGCCTTTATATATGCAAGATATTTTCTTGTATTTTTGAGAATTGCATCTTGCAAGTGCATCTCGCTCTCGCTTTTAATCGATTTAAATACACATACGAGATTTTTTTTTGTGGTGGACTTTTTGTGCGAGGTGCGTCAACTATTTTGTGGGGTTTTTTGAACTGAAGATAATCCTGAATTCGACAATTCTAAGCAAATGTTTGATAAATGTCGAAGTACCTGTTTATATAGACAACTGCAACATTTAATTAACTAAGGCTATAAGTTAAACATAGATTTCATTGTCAATAAATTCAGGAATCAAGCAGAGATGTAGAAGCTTAGTCAGATGGGGAGGGGAAGGGCAAAGCTCTTCTCAATAGACAAGCTTGTTCAACTTACTAGACCTGAGTGGAATACTAATCATGATAATAAGATGTTGACTAATGACATTAGTATATAATGTCATTAGTTGACCCTACGTCTGGCTATTAATTAGACACCAAGTCTAGTATCCATCCGGGAGAATTCAATAAATAGGAAAACTCGTTTCATTTTATTCTGAAGCATAACTACTCCTTTATACCAAAATTCCCAATCGAAGTTGATCCACCTTGATATTCTCTTTTCTCTTAAGTACTTGAACCAATTCGTGTGTTTAAAAATCTCCTCAATAACTCCGTACTTTTGTATAATATAGTTATCCTATACAACAAAAGACTCTTGTGAGAGGTTCTACTTATTCACCACACTTGTTATTGCAATGAATCAATATTATTGAAAAGCAGATCCAATGAAAAGAGAGTTCGATGACGCAACTATGAAGAGTGCACGTGAAGTAAAACTTTATCCTTCATTTTACTGATATAACCTTTTGTTTGGTTTCTTCTTATCTTTTCATTATTTCTGAGAACAACAATAATAATCTTTAAAACTGATCCGAACAATTCATGTTCGACAGACTTATCGAAAGTCTAGGGGAGTTATAATATGCACGTTCGAAAAGTTTAAATTTGAAAAAAACCGTTACAATTTTGTTGATTTTATTGGAGTTTTTGATCGTTTTGAAAAACATTTATCTATATTATGCTTATCATTAAATGACTACATAATATTTCATCTAAATTTCATAAAAATCTTACTTAATTTAAGTTTTAATTTTTTCCTAATTTTCGAAAATTTTGAATTGCAGGGTATGAAATTTCGAATTTTGTATGGCAGACAGACAAATAAGATATTTTCACAAGTTTTCTTGGAAACTGTAACGGTCGAAACCATCGAATTGTTCGTATCAGCTTTAAAAATTTACTTTATTATGATGGCTTTAGTAAAGTTAATAAAAGTGCTTGTGAATCTTTTCAAAATTGTGTTCACAAATTTAGTAAAGGGGCCGTTCACTTATGACGTCCAACATTTAGGGGGAGAGGGGGGTCTAGGAATTTGTGACAGTTTAATTTTTTTTACAGAATTTTTGTGATAGAGGAGGGAGGGGGGTCTAAAATCAGGTTTTTGATGGACGTCATAAATGAACGACCCCAAAGCCAGGTAAGGTCTATAAATCGGTTTTTTAAACGATATGATTAGATATTGATTCATCATTTGATTTATCTGAATTTTAAGCGAAATATTCAAAACTAATGGTATTAAGACTAGTCCGTGGCTTGTCCAGAACTTCAAAAGGAGGTTAGTATGTCTAATTGAACTTGATGTTGTGTTTGACTCTACAAAATCATCTCATATAGTGAAAAAAAAATATTATTAAACAGCAACAGCATTAGCATCTCATGTTTACCCCAGCATCCTACATATATCATCCATTTTTCAACAATAGATGAACATTTCACTATTAAGATGTTTTAAGCTACCCAAAAGAAAAAAAGAAAACCCACGAAAAAATTATCTCAAGACCCAAAATACTTGATAATTGCTGGAAATTACACAACGAGTGAGCATTTTCTTCATTAAATCAATTTAATGATTCGCATGTCAAATCTTTTTCTTTTATTTTCATTCATCAGCAAATGAAATTAAAATTTTTGATCGTTCCATTTGTGCATGTTGCTGCTGAGAGGTAAAACAAAAAAAAAAGCTATCGAGAAATCTCACAAAACTCATCAAGTGTGAAGGCAATTAATTTACAAATTTTCGAGTGATGACTGCATGTATTTGTCGATGATGAAATGTTTTTGGATTCCTGTGAAGAAATTGGATTAAAATTTATTGTTTCTTCACTAAAAATGCATGAATCAAAAAAGTCTTGGGTATGCTGGTAGCTTACAATAGATGAACTTTACTTAATGAACTTCTCATGCTGAATGATTTGCAATAAACAGCATGAGTTGCATTTAGAAATTAAAAATCTTTAAGTCTCAAGGACTTACGCTGTTAAATATTTAAGAAGCATGACTTAATTTCGGATTACTCTAAATTAAGATCGTGAGAAATCAGCGATAAAAATATGATCGATGGCTTAGATGTAATCATCTAATTACTAATGAGCATTAATGACTCTTAAACACCTTTCTTTTCATTTTGGCACAGATGTTGCAAAAACATTGTCTGATTGAATTTTTTATTGTATGTTTTGAGATCAATATTATTACAACAATTCGACGCATTGTTTGATTTTGAACAATAATGACTTAAACTTCTGTTTTGTTCATTTTTTTTTGAATTCAAAGCTTTTGTTTGGGTGATCATCGACTTTTTGAGATCATTGAGTTTTTTGTGAAGATGTGAGTTGTGAGCTTTTGACATCAATTAACATTTGCGATTTTTTGACCACACAAACATAGTCTATATCACATATTTTGATTAAATTTTGTTCCTGAAAGATTGCAAAAATACATTTTAAAGGATAAGGTTGGAACTTCATCGAACAACTTGTAGACGCATCTTTTAAAAGAAAATAAATAATAATTTAATGTCTTTTTAACAAGAAGATATCATTGATAATTTTACTCCTCAACCTAAATTAACAACTCGCTTCACTGGATCTCATCTGGATCCCAATGATAATGAAAATATCCGAAAAATCGGATATTTATCAGTAGATCACACAGATTTCCCTCTTATATAGAGGATAGTAGATCTGTGACTCAAGTTAAGTCACAATCGAGAGTCAAAATCGGTAAATAATGTCACAATTGATCGAAAATATGAAGTCACAATTTAGGTTACTGACACAATTTTTAGAATTTTTGGAATTAACGCTTATTGTAGCACACTTACACACTATATTTAAACACAATTTAATTCTTAATACTATCGAAAACTTATTAATTTATTTAATTTATTCAACATGCTTGTCTTGTGTGTTTATTGACTTGATATGAGACTCCACAAAGCTCCATTTCACTTTCAAAGCTTCGCTACTCTCTCTACAGTCTCAAGAACTCCAGTATCAAACAGATATGTGTCATTAGACTTGATTTAAATAATAATTGCAATGACTTTATCCACATGACGATAATTTTGCATAACCTTTAAGTTAATAAACTCTCCTCATCTCAAATCCCACGACACTAAAAATAGGATTCTTACATAAAATTATCCAATGATTCAAAAGCTCAAATCGAGTTGTCATATTTTTAATTGAAGAAATTGACTAGCGATGGTGAATAACAATTTAAGTTTATCGCATTTTTGACTTTAGTTTTTCTTCTTCTCATAACAGCACTTCATAACAATTTAACAGAAATTGCCGCCTTCATCTTCGCTACGAAAAAAAAAAAAAAAATAAAGTTGTATTTACGGAAACGGTAATAATAATCGCAAAGTAATAAATAATTCGAGAAATGCTAAAATAAATGGAGAGGCTTTTCAAAAATAATATCAATGAACTATTATGTAAATTCCAGTAAAATCATAAAAACAACTAAAAAGTAAAAATGTTTTGCTTCTCATTTCTTCTTTTATTTTATTATTTAAACTACTTACCACATGAGGCACAATGCCATATTCTGAATTTGCATCGTCAAAATGTTTTTTTTTTTTATTTTATATAAAGTTTGATTAATGCGTGAAATTACATAAACAATGAAAATAGGTGAGAAGACAATTGAAACTCACGCATTATGACTTTTGACCTGGAGGGAAGGTTGCTTATTTAGTCATATGCAATTTAGTTGATGACTGGATGGAAATAAGTTGATATTCAATGAATTAGTCGATGGTTTGAATATCTTTTATTTGAAAAACTAGCTATTATGGAATTATTTAGAAAGTCTTATTATAGTTCATGCTTTCGGTCTAGTTCTGGTACAGTTAGCAAAAATATAAATTAAGAATCTAGTTCGAAGCTAGATTTTTAGCGCCAAATTGTAGCGAAGTTAACCTAAGATAGTAAATTGCCAACATTCCAGAACCATCCCTAGACAGCTAGTAATTCAGTTCATCTCGAGCAGTTGCAACAGTGTTTCCTTCAATCTCATAACAGACTTTGAATAATTTTGCTATTCGAAAATCTAACATCTAAAATCTTCACCACGTTAAGTCTTCATGACTAAAACATGACAAATTATTCTGTCCGGGTTCACTTAAAATGCTCAAAGACAAATTAATGTATAATGAAACATTACTGTCATCTCTTTAACTTCTCTTCTATATACACTTCATTTAATTGCTAAGCCTTATTTTTGTTTTTGTTCAAAAGTAAGTAGAGTCAATGTCGCAAATGCTTTAGCTTTTTGTTGTGTGGTCGAGTGAATTTATAATTTTTTTCCATCTTTTCTTTTCCCGTATGAACAAATATAGTAAGAGATTTTGAGAGAGGCCTTAATTTTGGAGGAAAAAGTGTAGAGTTGGTGTATGGAAGTCTGAAAATTTGGACTTTTAGGGTCTCTTCTGGTTTTGGGAGGTTTTCACTATCAGAAGTTACACTTAATACATGATTAGATCTCTTAGGTCAGTTTCTGAAGCTACTCCAATTGCAGAACCGACCAATCGAATTTTAATAACTTTTGGCTTCCTAGGGTACCAAAACCCCCTTTACTATCCCGAATG